ATATATATCGCAACAGAAAAATCACGAATCGAAATAGTCTAGAATTTTAAAGAATTCCTTAATTCATATAGACAGATAAAATAAAGATATATTATGAATTGATACGCCGCCCAATAGTCGCGGATCCAAACCCCCGCACAAAATTTGAAATGAATCGGTCCGACAGAGATAAAAATGATCGCGACGCATCAAATTCTAATATTAAAGCTTCGGCGGCAAGCAGTATGGCGAACTTTCGTCCTTCGGTAATTATGAAATACTTCCGTTTCCTATTCGTCATTTACGCTCTCGCAACTCGGACTTGCCAGACGAGGTTCTTAGGGCGCGTCGGTGCTACAAACGGCTCACCCAATCCCAACATGTATCGCACACCACCAACACAAAGGTAGCGCCACTCGTCGTTTATTATATTTTTTGGATTTGGTATCTTCTAAAAAAAGAAACAAGTCGATACTAATCGAAGTTACTATGGCAATATATGAAATTTCATGATGGCATGACCTATTATACTATCGGTCGAGCGATATTATGATTCTTACGGCCGGGCATCGTTGTCATAGGTTGAATTGCAGGTGCACTGAGTGATCCACAAGCTTGTTGCACGATTCAACGAATGTGTGAACTCCAGTGCAAACCCATACTTCCCAAATTACAGGCAGTATGCTACCTGTATGATGGATGTCAACGAAAGTTGCTGGACTCCTGGACCTTTTTCCGGCTAGCCACCGATGCCAAACGGGCTCTCCTGCAGGCAATGGTAACACGTTTGCATTGCAGCGAGCCCTAAGAGATGTTCACGACTCGCAAGTCAAGTACCAAAGCATCAACATCGAAACACAGTGTCGTGAAAACTTCCAGCTAGACCGACTCGGCCTTGTCAGTGCCACTCTGCTTCGGCTGACATCTCTCAATGACCTTTGGACAACATTAGAAAGCATTGTTGCACGCCGTAGCGGTGCCAAACATGCTAGATAGAATACTCCAGGCGAAGTGTAGTATACTGGAGTAGCAAGTCCGTCTGTTGCAATATCGAAGTGATGCATTGCCTGAGCCTGCTGCACCAAAGCGTGCATTTACCTCCAGCCAAGGCAAGACCTTACAGTCTCATCCGCCGTACTCCCAGGGCTTGCGCTGCCGTGTTCTCAGCTTCGCAGCCCCACCTGCCTCGCCCCACTGAACAAGCGTGCCAACTGAGGCATGGATGCCCGGCTCGCAGAGTCGGGAGTTCTTGCTCAACTAAGGGCGGAAGAGATTTCACTGCCTTGACGCTTGCTTGGTTGCCGACGTGACGATCCTGACAATGGCGAACTGTGCATGGAGCACTCAAACCACACTGCCGTAGCCGTCTATCTCCGGCATGTCACATAGTCGTGCCTTCGGTGCATCGAACATGCCCAGCGGGTCATCTTTGGCAGTCATAAGGAAGAGCACCTCTGACATCGTGGGCTGCAGCTTCAAGCGCCGATGATAAAGATAGTGCGGGTCAGCTCATGAGCAGACTGACTTGGAAATACAGGCAACGCGAGTGGATGCAAGAGAAGCAGACGGCAGGAGGTTATTATCCTGTTAATCTGCATTCAGAATCAACAGTGCTTCTTGTCGGAAGGAAGGTCCTAAGTTGCGTTTCGAGCCTCTTCCCTCAGCGGTGACCAGTGATGGGTGCGTTGGATGGCACTGCGGATGTCCACTTGCCTGCATTGCGCAAAGTGACATTTTACCATGAAGCTTTGAAAGATGGTTTTAGACCTGCAGGCAGCATATCAAGCAATTGTTTTGGAAAGCCTGCTAACACCATGGGCGGCAGGAACTTGCAACGTGGGACTGATCTTTTCATGGGCTGTGTGCAACCACGTCTTACCTTCGGAGCAAGGTGATGCACTCGCACGGCTCGCACGGGGCTCCGTTTCCCATGCCGGTATTATGCAGGGGCACGAACAGCTTCCTGCCTGAGGAGGTCAGCATTGGCCTCGATATCGCCACTGGGCGATTTGTGTCTTGGGCTTTGTAAGCTGGTGAAATGCACTTGCTGCGCAGGGCCCCTCCAAAACAAACGCACGCCAAATCGATGAAGCTCAGGTGGAGGCATTGCGTATACTGGTAGGGTGGGCAACTGCCTGCACGAGTAGATCATGCAGCCGAGCAGTTGCAGCTGAAGTTCCATTTCTTGCAAGTCGAGCACTCTTCTGTTTGGGCAGCCAACCTTTAAGGTGGACGTACAATTCGGCCCACGATGCGGACGGCATTGGGTCAATCGAAGGCACCTCCTCCACAGCTACCTGCGTGTCCTGACGCTGGCTGTAATCCATCTGCTGCAAGATGACCTGGGGCAAATCGAGGAAGCTGGCACGTGGTCGGCTTGGCTAATTCACCACTTGCGTTTCGAAGGACTGGGCTTCATGCATTCGACAACATCATCAAGCATTCCTGCATGCAAAACTCAGAAGGACAGGCCAGCCTTCTGCGGTATAGCCTCGACCCGACGTCTGCGGTTTAGCAGAGTAGCCGTACCAGGTCACACAAGCGGATGAGAAGTACGTTGCACAGACAGTACAAACTACCTACTGATCTACTTTGTTCGGCTACGGTGTACCGTCAACATGCATATACAAACATCTTCGCATGCATATAAAAATGTATACATATATGTATGTATAGATTTATGTAGGTATGCACATACATAAATACGCCTGTACTTTCACATCTGGATATTTGTTCATATGTATTTAACTGTCTTTCTACACGCATAAACACATGCACATGCGCGGACACACACACACACACCCTCTAACAAATGCGCACACCCACATACTTGCAGCTGGTACGGTAATGCGACTGCATGTGGCAAAGGCGCATCCTTGTCATCCATCCACAGAGGCACCCGAACTATGCATGCCCGCATGTCCAGTGTGGATGCGTGATTGCCTGCGGTTGCTGGCTCGAAGCAGCGGGCCGAAAACATGCGGAAGGAACTTCCGTCGCAATCATCCGAGCTATGCCTGTGCTTTAAAGGAGACCACAAGCTGCTCAACAAATGGCGAGGCAGGATTTTGAAACACGTCTTCACACAAATTAGTCTTTCCAACTAAGCTAAACCCGAGTATTACATCTCTGCCCCGCTTGAGAGCCAGTCAGATTCTGTGCGGCAAAAGTATCATTAGCCTGCAACGTTTTGTTGCGGAATCAACCAGTCGAGCGGACTACCAGTGATCTGTAGCCACTTGCATGTACCAGGAAAAGTTGGCCACCAGTGTGTCTCACGGCTTGCTGCATCTGCATGGACCTTCCCAGGCGAGAAAGCACCCAAATGTCATGCACGATGCGTAGCTCCACATCTGCGCAGTGCACTCTCAGGCGGCTGCCCGTTCTTCAGGTCTCCACATCTTCCTAGATGGCATCCTCCTACGTGGCGACAGGTGATATCACCACAGTACCACGAGATCACAAGTTTTGAACCTTCCAGCGGCATGAAGGGTCACTCTTAATCAGGTTCGACCAGGGCAGATTTTCCTTTTTATGGCCCCAAGCCGCAGGGCCCTGCCTATTTTGTGCAAGTTTGGGTCATCCCGGCTTCCGTGAACCATGCGGAAAACCACCTGGCCTGGCTGCTGCTGCTGCTTTCGGAGTCGCCGTTGCAGGTCGCCAAAGACTTTCCGTCGCGTTCCTTCTTGCAGACTCTCCTGTCGCAGCTTCAGAACTGCATGAACTCGTCAGAACTGGAGACCGAGCCGCTAGCACATCGGTGGGGGGGGTTATTCTTCCGGAGTATGAACCCCCCCCGGGGCGGTTTTAAAGGGGGGGTTCATAGTCCAGGAGTATGGAGGGGGGGGTTCATACTCCCGGAGTATCGAGGGGGGGTTCATAGTCCAGGAGTATTGAACGGAGGGGGGTTCAATAGCAATCCTAATCGTAATCGTAATGGTAATAGTCCTTGTAATAGTAATAGTCATAGTAATACTCATAGAAATAGAAGTAGTGGTGGTCATGGTTGGTGATAGTGGTGGTAATCGCACTAGTAACAATATTAGTAGTAGCAATAGCAGTAGCCATAGCAATGTTAATAGTTGTAGTACTAGTAATCATAACCGTAATCGTAGTACTCCTGTCTTCTGCTGTTACTCATACTGTTAACTAGTGCGACTACCACCACTATCACCAACCATGACCACCACTATTTCTATCACAACTACCATTAGTATTACTATGACTATTACTCTTACTGTTACTATTACTATTACATGGACTACGTACTACTATTACGATTAGGATTGCTATTGAACCCCCCCCTAATACTCCTTGACTATGAACCCCCCCCACCCCGCTAACGGCGCTATCTGCAGAACTGGCAACCTATTGCGTTGGCCTGGCAGAATCAATGGGCTGTCTAATCAGCATTTCAGCGATAACTCCAAGCTGTTTCTGGGTTTGCAACGACTCCTGCCTTGGCTGAATCGTGGTGCAAAGCCCCAGCAATGCGCCGACTACCAGCGACAGCAGCCACAAAGTGCCAGCATCTTCCATGGAAGTGCCGCCTTGGATCAGAATGAAGAGTCGTCATGACCGGTTCGTTTATGAAGAGCACTACAGTAAAGTGTGGGTGAGCACCTGGACATGTGCACGGCATGGGAGACCCCTCAACGTGCAAACCAGGCTCGAGTTGCAACGATCAGAACCGCCATAATCCATGGATGAAGCAAGTAAAGCCTCAGCTCGTGTGTTCAAAACATTCGGGTGCACGCCGGCGTAAGTTCAGCATGTTGCAGGCCGATTGAGCCCTCGGGAACCGTAGCAAGACAACTCGCCAAGCTGAAGAAAGCTTAACAGTCAAGTCTTGCATAAGAGCCCGAGGAACAATAGCGCCATGTTCGCCATGGACGCGGGAAGTGCTTTGCAATCAATGTGGCGACCGACCCTGTCGACAACAAGCCTGGTCGCAAGAGCAAATGTCACTCGAAAAGCCGCTGGCATGACGCGAAGATGTGAGGCCTCCGAACAGCCCCACGCCCAAATGGTTGTACCAGCCCCCAGATTAACGGGGCCTGGGGAATGTATATAATTATTCAGGGGGGTTGGGGGAACCGAGCTTTGCCCAACCGGGACTGCTCACTGAATGCTCAAAATTAAAAAGTTATGGCTTGTGTAAGAATGGGCTGGGGAGCAGGAGATTGCTTGGGGCCGACAGACTTCCCAGACTGTCTTTTTTCTGACCAGGTCCAAACACTGGCACGCGGCATGTTCGTAAAGGAAGAATGTTTGCCTGGGTCTCCCCGGTTTTCAGTCATGACGAGAGCGCTCTTTTGGCTGAAAACTAAACTCAATCTACGTGTTCAATACAAACGTGTGGAGCGATGGTCTGGCGACGAAACAGGGGAATCGGAGAGAAGCTGGGCCTGAAGACGGGAGGAGCACGAGAGCTACGGGCCTCAAGGCTGACTGATGCTGGGGTTCTGTGCTTTCACAACAGGGTTCTATAAGGTTTATAGGGCTGAGTTATAGCAAGGCTCTGGAAATGTGCGTCTGCAAATTCCGCACACCCCCCGAGGCTATACATTCTGGGGCGTGGCCCTTCCGAACCCTTTAGACGAAATGTGCCGAGATGTCTTCCCCCTTCGAAACTTGTTTACATGAATGACACGGCAGTGCCTACTATGCTGAACCTGTGCGAGACAAACAACCATGTGCAAAATTGGGCTCTGCACTACTCTTGGAAAGATCAATAGCACAAAGATCCCTACATGTGGAGCAAGTTGGTCTGCGACTATGCAGGGTGTATATTTGGAGGTAGGTCGATTCCATTGAAAATAACAGGGCCAATGCAAAAACCAGCACGCGAGTTGCTGACCTTCTGAACATGAGGCCCCACCCCGGAATTGCACTGCTTCTAAAACCATCATAACGAATGGTAAAGACATGCAACCACAGCATTTGCAAAACAGTTGCAAGCAACCAGCCATCTGCACCCAAGGAGCATAACGACAACGGCACCACCAGCCTCACAAGACCGCTAGTGGCATTGGTATGATATGGCGACGGCTCTTCACTTGCAACCCAAGGTGCATAGAGTCCGCGGTCCACCAAGCGTGGATAGTAGGGGTACGTCAAATTGCCTCCATGGGTCGACTGTGATCTTTTCATGTTGCTAATGAAAAGTGACGTTTTCAATCGGGAGCCGACTTAGCTCTGCAAAGTTCTTACGTAACCGCAATTCGAGTAATCAATAACTAGTTTCCCAAATGTCGGGAGCATTATAGAATGCACCATGGCCCGGCGCCCCACCGCTCATGCAACGACTTCACGTTACGTCTTGCTTGATGCCTGCTATATGAAATTTCTGCAACATGCCTCTTTGTCGCAAATAAAGCGAAAGTCCAACATCGTTCAAGTGCCCTACAACCGATAGATACCTGTCTTGAGATGGCAACCTTCAAACGCCTCATTTCAGAGAGACAGGCTTCGAGAGCGAGAGCGAGATGTCGGTGCATGACTTGCTCAAGGAATCAAAAACCTCCGAGGAAGCAAAGGGACAGGAGTGTTAAACGCATGTTTCTTTGACCGAGGGCGATGGGTTTGCACGTCGCAAACTTATCTGAACTTGACTCCTTCTTTCCCGTTATTGTTGACTCTGCGGAATGCAAGGAGCTGCGACACGTCCGACCGAATCACGACTGTTACCGCAAGTCCGAACTAATCCGCTGCCGAAAGGAAAGACGTGGAACACCCAGGTCAGCAACGGTGATTTTTCTTGCAAACAGCTCCAAAGACTATCCGAGCCATTCGCTGCTGCCTATCACCAGGCCTCCCGCAAACCAGCTGGTGGAAGGAGCTGTTAAAGTTCCTTCTGCTGGGCCACGGAAGCATTCAGGAAGCAGGGACATGGGGGACGGTGCTTGGTGACAAGATACAGGGGAAATTTAGTGTCCGGCAATCAAGCGCTCTGCAACCAGTCGGCCATGCCCAAATGACACTTCTACATCTGCGCGGTGTGGCAGGGAACACGTGGCGTTATGAACTCGTCTAGTCTTGCTCTTGCTGCAGCAGCGTGTCGAAGAATCACCAGCAAGGGCCAGTAGGTGCTAACCTGGAAACAGATGAATTACAACACCCAGTCCCACTCACTCTACGGCCTAAAGGCCTAACTGTGCCTCCTCACTTACTTAATCTCTCACGCTCTCACCAACTGACCCACCCGCGGACGCACCGACTAGGCCCCCATTCACCTACCTCAACCTAGTCAATCACTCCACCCTCACTCAAGTTGTGACTCGTAGTCTCACGTCTCACTCGCTGCCGTCACTGCACCACAAACTTAAGCTCTGACTCACGCACGCCTTCCCTCACTCAAGTGCCAGAGACATCGAAATCGAACCTTGCTCAATGATTGCCGTTCACCTGTCGCCGTCGGCTGAGACTCTCCACAACTGAACCCAAGCAGCAATTGGCAACGCTTCCTCACGCCCTGGTAGGCGTGACAATGTGATAATGAATCCTCAGCCGTCAGTAGCATATTCTCTGATGCCTGTCCATCCGCTGTTAAATAAGTAGGGCATTAGACTCTTGAGACTTGGAATGCATCGGTCCTGGAGCATGCAGAGTGAGCTTCACATCTGCGTGCTGCTACGTCTAAAGAGTCCAAATCAGTCCAGGATCCGAGCTGGAAGGATTTGTTAAAGCCTGTGAAAATGTAGAGGATGAAGCCCTGAGCGACAGAGGAGCCGGGAAGCTGGAAATTGCAACATGAAGAACTAAGTTCTTGGCAAAAGACACGACTCTGCCCCTGTCTTCATAACTTCCAATGCGGGCTATGGGGCAGCGGAAATAGATTCGATGCGTGGCGCGATGGGCGCACAGCCAAAGCCCAGGAACATCAAAAATCCCAGGATATAGTGAATAAAGCGCAGAGGAAGCCACGTTGGCCGGTACTCGGGCCGTGTCAAAACAGCAACCGCCAGAAAAAGGGCTTCACAGACCACCTTCAAGGACGCCACCATGAATGGTTGCTCCATCTCTTCACCGGCGAGGAGCACAAACGCAGTGATGAGCCCGGTCGTAGCCACGAGCTGCACGCCCAGAATAGCAACATGGCAGCGTTTCTGGTGAAGGTAGGCAAACAAAGGCCAGTTGATCAGCATCAAGGCAATGAGCATAACACAATACCACATTTGGAACAGAATCGGGAATAGCTTTCCAGACCATGGACTGATCGTGAAGGCGAAGACTGCCCCCTTGCCTTCACAGACTCTAGATGAACTTCGGAAAGCTAGTGACTAGTGGCGGCAAGGACATCTGCAATCATACTATTTGTTTGACAGAATCCAACTACAATGTCGAATTGTGACGTGTGCCTGCTGAAATGCTGGATGGTACCACCTAGCAGGGTGTGAGAACGCCGTCGACAACGTTTACGAAAGCTAGACAATCTGTCTGTTCCGGCCGAGAAACATTCTGGACGCGAGGGGCCGCTTCCCGGGTCACATTCTGGATTCTGTGGGCCCATGACCCACAAGACTCCATTGAGTGCGACTCCTCAATACATGTTGTAACAGTCAAGGCAAACTCGCTTGAAGAATCCCTACCGCAAATGACCTACGAGTAGCTGACTGCACAGCCTCCCTGCACTGACAGCGAGAAGCGTGCAAGTCAAGCCGAAGTGTGGCAATCGGAACAACAGTCAGCCTAACTTGCTGGACAGGCAAGGCAGTACTTTCGGTGGCTTCTCTCTAGTAGGCTTGCGTGAAGTGCAGATGCAACTGTCTGAATTACGTTTCTATGCACACTGGGTAGGCAGTCCTAAGAATGTGTAGATCGCGATCTTGCCAAAGCCGCTCGGCGCCTGCTTCAACAACCAGTGTGCAGAAAGCTTTGACCAGGGAATTCTACAACGTCCTCCAGCCTTTTGGGGCGTCCACTCGTCCCCAATTTTCGAGGTCAGATGAGGCTGAAGTGTAATCTACACGGCAAGTCGTGGGCTGGGGCTGTGCGTGGGACCACGGGCCTTTGAAGATCACTGTTCGGAGATACATGACACGCGCTCGACTTTAGCCTAAATGCTCCGGCAGGCACAAATGCATCGCATGAGAGAACCACGGCTATCGACATTCGCGACTATGACAGAATGAGAAAGCAGTTTACCCGAGATGCACTTGCGTCTGCTTTTCCAGTTTCAGGGCCTTCGTTCCGTCAGACCCTGGCTCGCCAAAAGCCCTAGTCCATGGCCTGCTTGAAGGAGCAGGCAGAAGCTGCCCCCGAGACGTAGAAGAGCAAAGGCAGGCAGTACTGCCCTTGAGCGGAGCTTCACCAGTGCGTCTTTGTATGGCTTCGCTTGTTGCAAGGGGGGTTTCAAAAGGGAATCTACAGAAAATGTGCTCCCTTCTACCACTTGCTACAAAAGCCTCGGCATGGCGGCCAAGCTTTCGGGGATCGTATGTGTGGGTCGAAAACCACTGCAGTGTGCACCGCATTCATCACGCAATCTAAGATATGTGGCGGGTGCCCCGTCAGACCTGCTTTGGAGTCCTTTTGAGGATTCAGTGAGTTTTCAAGTTTTGGACAACAGGCGTTGCTTAAATGTGGCCTTAGGCTCGTCTAATCACTTCCCGCATTCCTTCGTCTACAGTGTAGGGGGGCCCCTCGGCTTTAAGCTCAACCATGCTCAGCTTGCTGGAAAAGAACCCAGGCCAGGTGGCCAGGCCCTGCAATTTTGCAGCTCAGATTCTCACTTCAGAAATCCATCGGACGGCAAATGGGGATGGATTCCTTACCATGCAGAGATCTCTCGCAGTGCATTGCGACCGGTGCCATCTCAAGGCTTTTTGTGCATGCCATACGAGCTGCCGTCTACAAGCGTTGCAATCAAGCCGGCCAGAATCTACAAGAACAGACTGCCGTGTACTAATCGAACTGGGCAAGAGTCTCGTCTGTGTAAATCCGGTTATCCGGTGAGATCCTTGCTTGGACACCTCCCGGCACTCCACTACGTGATATGTGGGCGTAGACCACAAGAATCACCTCAGCTGAAAACGTTGAATAGAGAGCTAACCGAATGAGTCGAGTTGCAAACCTCCAGCCATTGCAGCAGCCGAAAACAATAATCACCCTCCGCGAAAGCCTTTCGAAGCCGAATCAATACCTCTGTAGTGGTCGCAGTCCGAAGACGAATCGAATGCACACAGTCCGTCAACATACCAATCTCACAAGGCCGTCAGCCTGCTACCAAGGCACCATGATGGCTCGAAACCAATCGAACTCGTGAAAGCGCTTCCTTTGAGCTCGAAGAGAGGTGCGCTATGCAAGAATCGAAGCAGAACTCATCCCACTGGAGTACGTGTCGGGAACTATAGGTAAAAATTAGATGCTCAGGCTAAGCCGTACCGGCAACCCAATGATCAATGCTATCGGCTGCAGCAGCGGCTACAAATAATGCGCGGCAGCATGCTGCAAAGCAGCTGGTCGAAATTCCGAACTCAAGCACCACCACGAGTACTCCATCTTGCTCACAGCTCTCATAAGCTGCGAGACAATAGATGGTGAAAAACACAGCCGCGTAGTCGGCTTGATTGCAATATTGCAGGTTGGGGTCTTCTTCTCTGCCACCTTCGCTGGCGGGAGCTGTTCGGCATCGCTTTGCCTTCCAGCAACGGCAAGTAATGTCCATCCCGCAACGTGCACTGCTAACCTTCCAGGCATACGATTGGACATGCGCGCACTGCAAATGCACAAATTGATTGATCGGGGGCTGCGCCCTTTGCTCTTGGTGGCTCCCACATAATTCCTCTAAAGCCGAAACAATACTACTACAGTCAGCAAACGGGCTATTGGGTTGTGCACAAGCAAAGCCAACATATAGACTCCCGGGGACTCCCAGGTAGTTCGCTACGCCACCGAACTACATCACTTCAGCAGTTCTCAGCGTAGCAGGAGAAGATCACAAAGAGGTGAGGCAGTAACTGCAGAGCCATTTGTTCTGTCGGTTCGTTGAAAGTATTTGCACATCCGTCATGTGATCTGCGAACCTCGACTCCATCAGAGTCGTCTACGCATGCCATTGTGATGTTCGCAATGAGGTGATAGAATCATAATGAATGAAGTAGCTGGACCTGTTCGAGCGCTTGCCGCAAAGCCCCTTGCCTTTGACCGACAGTCGGCACAACGCCAGCATTCTTCGCCCACATTTTGTATAGCTAAAGTACCACGGAACGAGAACGAAACTTCGCTGAGCCCAAGACTCCATCGCCGGCGCAAGCCGTTGTGTCTCAATCGACCAACATTCTGCAGCTGAGAGCCACATGCTGTACGGCAGAAAACGGATGATGGCAAGTGCAGACTGTGGCTAGCGATTGGAAGGCCAAGCATCTTGCTGCCTGCAAGGCCACAGGAAAAATCGGCTGCGAATACAAATCTACAGACCGTCCATTTCCCCAGCAGTCCGGGATTGTGTGCTCTTCCACGACTCCACGAATGCTGGTGGATGGGGCGCGTGGGCAGTGCTGCCCATCACCTGGCGTTTATGCTCAGATATTTTTCGGAGCCACAACCAGTGTCGCTTTAGTGCCATGTCAGAACTAATCAGCAATGGTGCAATCGGAATTGTCGAAACTGCACTTTGCGACGAAGGAACAAAAAGCACTGTGAAAACCATAACGGCCCAAGTGAAGGCTGCTTGCACTTTGCTGTGAAATTCGCAAGTCTTCCGCAGGAGTCTGGTCTGCACCTATCGCACGATAAGCACGAATGCACAAGCATGTTGGGAGCACGCCACATCGTCCGTGCCCCTTGATGTGTCAGTGACCTGGTACAAGCGAAATCCAGATGTACCAAGCCTGCCGCCTGCATTGTGCTTCAATGAGGAGAGCAGGCTTCTCTCGTGCTTGCGTGAATCATCCGCAAAGACTTTGCCTCAAAGGTCTGTTTGCTCTATATAATATTAGGGCCCGACTGGACGCTGCCAAGAACCGCGTATGCGAGCCGAGAGGACATGGCATTCTGCAACAGGTCCTGTGTGCGGCGGCGCAATCCCCAGTGAGAACACTTCCCTCCCCTGTGACTTAAATCCGCTCGTTCGAGAATCAAGCTTGGCAGCTTCCGACAACTCTCGTGGCCCAGTCCAAGGCCAAGTTCTGCGTAGCGGCGGACATGCTCGCCTGGACTGGTCAATGGGGCCACAGGTCCAGACTGCAGGCTATTTGATGTTGGTTGGCACAGGTGCCACTGCTGGAGCACACAGACCCGCGTACAACCCGAACACGCAAAGCATGCAGCCAGCAGAAGCCTGGTGAAGACCCTTTGCGAACGAGCATTCTTTAAGTCAGCCAGCTTGGTGCAGAATCCTTATAGGACAAGAGCTCTTGTCTGTGTGTGACATGACTTTGAGGCTTGCATACCTACCTTTCTGCCTCCTGTTTGTTGAACATTAGCAAGCAGTACTGAGTCGGCCAGCTCTTCGTGTTTGAAGTTCGGCCGGCCAGCCTCTATGCTCCCAGTTTTCAAGCATTGTCAAGCCATGCAGGCCTGGAACCGCTTGAGGAAACGTTCGCCGTCTACGAGCGCTCGCAGCAGCTTCCAGTCCCCGCATGTGGCATGCGCCTGGCAAGCCGGAACTTCATGCCTTGTTACACGCAGCTACAGTAGCATGCCGGCAGAAGTGGTCACGAGACCATGTCCGGATTCTACACATTTCTTGTCTGCACACTCATGAATACAAACTTGTACGGCTCTTCACATCGCCTGCACAAGTCCTAAGGGGCAGACAGAGCCATTAGCGGCGGAGTAAAGAAGTTGTCGGCATCGGAAGTTGCCCATCCTGGCACGCTGAAGGCAGGACTCGCGATCTGTGGTCGCTTGCAGGTTGTGGGACAGTCTTGCATTCGTGGTGCCCGCAGTTGCACCCTCTTGTCGGCAATGCAGCTGGTGGCGGCTGTTAGGGGTCGCGCTATTGATTGTCGAGGCAACGGTGGCGGCGGCAGCAGTAATTTGTTTTTGTCCATAGCTTTGGCGGTTGCAGTTGGAGTTGTTTTTTCGAAGTCTGGTCGCGTTGACGATTCCGTGACAGCGCATGGTCACCATCCCATGCGAAGCCCCGAGCACGGATGAGCCGAAACAAGTACTCTTGTCTTAGGTCCGTCGAGCCGCAAGCGCTGCTGCTCTGGAGTTCCCTGGAGCATCATCGCCTGGAAGCCAATCCGGGCTTTCGCTGTTGACTTGTCTTACTGCGCAAAACCTTTTCTCGCGAGCCTCTGCACGGAAGGCATTTGCACAGCCTTGACCTGAGCTAGAGTGATGCATCCACAGGCAGTTTAGGGAGTGTCTTGTGAAGATCTCACACATTCCGGACTTCCGTGACAGAAACAACGCGACACGCAAGCGACACGGGACACTCACGGGACAGTCAAGGTCGCCACTGTAGCCGACCCAGCCCCACGGTGTCCTGACCTCAGCGATAATCGCAAACACAGCTCCGACGACAAATGCATGGCGCACATGCTATCTTCCTATTCCACACCTGCTGCCCTTGGTGCTTTCGAACCACATGCGAGAAACACTTCATCACAAGTTCGCGAACAAGCATGCCCAGTAGCACATAAGTTTTATCCATCACGGATAAACAATACACATCAGATGGCCAGGTACCACACAACGCAACATGGCACAAAAGTCTTCTTCCGTGTACAGCCTGGAAAAAATGCCAGAACATCTGCGGAGGCAACGACGACGAAATCTGATGTAAGCGTAAACTACTCGTAGCAAGAAGATGAAGCAAGATTTGCTTGTAAAGCTCAACTTGGCAGTAAGAACAAATACCAGTTGACCCCATGTTATGTTAGTTGTACTGTTCGTATCAAGGCATCCTGGAGCTCAGAGTGGCATACATACCGCAGTGCCAAGCTCCCAGCATTTTCACGCACCGCACGCTCCACGCATGCTGCCTCAGGGTAAGGTCAACACCGACGGCGCGGGAGGAGCTTCATTTGGTTTCAGGATCAGTAGCAGCGAAGACACATTTTATTGACCGTTCGCTGTCAACTACGGGCCCGGCATTGTAGTCCACGGACTGTAAGGTGGCCGTATCTGCACGAATAACCTGGCACAGCTACAACGTGGCGCACTTGATCGTCGCAGATCCACGGAGCATCTGCAAAACACGTTCTTGCCTCCACCCCTCGCATTTGCTTCAAGCGCGTGTATGTGGCTGCCTCACTCACAAGATCTCCAGCTCAAGATCTGAAACATGCATCGCTTAATGCAGTTGCAACACAACCTTTGTCGCAGGTTATCTCTAAGACTTTGTGACTGTCACTCCCGGCTGCTGCACTACAGCAACTGCAATCCTGCACTCGATGCGCATGGTATATGCGAGTTTGCCCCATCGAAGTCTTTCCCAGGCCGTGGCCATCTCTGTGCCCTTGGCACCCTCTGTGATGACCTGAGGCTACCCGGAGGCTCGCAGCTCAAGAAGCAACATCAACTTTAAGAAACTGTCACGCTCGTTGATGCAGAAGAAAAACTCATCGAGGCTTCGGCTCCCATTGCTGAGACCACCGTGAAATCAAAGGGTCCAGGTGGCTCGTCCATGGTCAGTGCTACCAGGCCTAAAGTAGGGCCGAAGGTCCAAGCGGTCCGATACATGCAGGAAAACGGAGAAGTTTCGCCGTGCTCCTTGCTGTCGGCCCGATACCTCTGGCGGTCTGCCGGCCTGAGAGTAAGTACCACCACGGAAACATGGCGAAACTCTTAAACAACGTCACCGATTCATTTGTGCCCTTGAAGCCTGAGCTGAAGGCTCGTAGAACAGTACCTGGGTCTGGGTGGCTTCCAAACGTGTCTCATGCTCGAGCAGGCAGTTTCATAGGTTGCTAACTTTTCGCCCGTACAGCATGCAGGCATATGCACCCATACATGCTTCACGCAGCAACGTACCTCGATCAAGCAATCCACCAAGCACGCCTCGCTGGCGGGGGTGGTTGCCCACCTCAGCTGGCAGTCATGGAGAGTCGTCAAGATCGGTGCTCCATATGGGTTGAGCGCCCTGCAATCGATCACAAGCCTCCGAAATGCCTCCCCCATTGGGTACTCACTTTCATTTGCGAGCCGGTCTTCAGAATTGAGAGAGAGAGAGCCTTCCCAGTCTGCGGTCTTGGATGCATGGCGTAGTTGTGCATCCAGCCATTTCCTAGTCAGAGTCCGAGCTGTGGTGGAAGGTAGCAAGACATGAACATTCGGAGTACCGCTGCTCCTTTGCCTCTCCTTCCTCCCTTCCCGCCGCTTCGCTAGCCCCGGATGTGCGACCGTGTGGCTGTTCTGGTTCAAGCTGTGTGTTGCTCTGGCTTTGCCGTCCAAGCTGCGCAAGCCCCCAATTACCCGTTCATGTTCTCCGGTCCTGGTCTCGTCCACGTTCTGTTGGACATTCCGCAAGACCGACACAATGACGAGGGCCTGGCTTGGACCCATGTTGAGCCGGCAGGGCTGGGCAGGGCTGGGTTTTGGGGTGCTGCCTGGGCAAGTCAACTTGAAAAACATTCCGCAAGTAGAGGAGAATTCCAGAACTGAGGGCATTACATCGTAGTTGCGTGCCCAGAACGCATGGAGCCAGTCGGCCCGCCTTTAGCATCGGCGCAATCCAACCAGAATCCAGGGGTCTGCGTTTTAGCTGTAGGTCGGTCCTTACGGGTGTTTCTGTCTCCGAGTGCGGGGCAGCACCTCTGGACTGGCCTTGGCACCAAAAGAAGAACTTCAAGCACTCAATTGATGAATTTTGCAGCGCAGTCTTTCCTTCTACTTGTAGTTCAAGGCTCCAGTGAAGCTCAAAAAGCGCACCGGCATAGCAAAGTCTATGAGACAGAACACGCGAGGGATAGGCAACAGCGTTACGGGTCTTTGGGTGCTGGGTGCACTGTGCCATGCTGGTGCGCGCCACCGTGGGCTTGGCAGTCGTCTTGCAAACAAAACTCACAAAGTCCCAAAACAGCCACACATCAGCACGAACGCAAGCGAACGCAAGCTCATGCAAAACACACCCAGTATCTATCGAAGAAACCTTAAATCCCACTCTCGCCGCCAGTCCCCAGTCTTCGTCTGCTCATGAGTTTGGATCCCTTTATATAAAGCCCCCCTCAGCTGTTTTTGCTCCAGCACGGTCTCGGCACTAAGCGCTTCGCAACGTCAATCGCCAGCCAGCGAAGTCTCGGGGTCGGGCTGCCACGGCTGCACCACATGCCTTAAACGCGTCGAAGTAGAGCCTGTTTTGCAGGACGCTTCCGCATCTGTTCGGAGCATGTGCCCTCATTGCGGGTCGTCAGGATGGACTTCTGAGGCAACTTCAGTGAAACTGTCAAACTGCAATCCGATGCATCCGAGATTGCAAACTGTCACGGGCAGAGGGGCTTTTGCACTGCAGCCTCCCAGGTTTCTACAGTTTTCGAAGTCGAATCTGAAACACCATGAACTGAAGCTGTAGTCCGTATATAGCACATTACGAGATGCCGAACCGACAAACCTACATGAGGTCTGGCCAAATAGTTTTTCTGTATTCAGCATGACACATCCGCTACTCGTTTCAGGCAGGGAAATTTGCTTGCGAGTTTGAGCTCCTTTTGATGGGCCCATGCGCTGTCTCGACGGACTTGCACGCTGCTGCGGGCCAAGTGGCTGCTCGTCCACGAGCATGGGCTTGTGAAGCCCGCAGGGCAGCAACAGGCTCGTGAGGGCCATTGAAACACGGGGAAAAAACTCTAAAGGTGCAATGAACCCATCTTTCGTTGGAAAGTAAGAATCCAGTGAACTAAAGAAACGTGACAACCAGTTGCGCCTCTGCACATGGCGGGTGAGACTAAGCCGACATACTTCACTCGCTAAGCCACGCTGCTGTGCGGGAGTCTGCTTATTCTTGGACCTCAGACGCGAGCACGGATCAGCCAGCCATGAGCGCAATCCGTGATCCTGTCACAACTCCTCCATTGCAAACAAAAACAGATGCCGTCCAAAGTACGTTCTCGCTGAACGGCAGCGAGGTAGAATCAAAGCTTCGTCAACGGCTTCCAACCCATCTTCTCTTCAAACCGAGCCTGCTTCAAGGCTGTGACGAACATGAATGCCAAGGATGCTTGCAACATCTTGCAACATGTGGCTCCAGTCTAACGCCAAAGCGGCACAACATTCCCCCACCAGCCTTCCACTGGAAGAAATAGGGTTCCTGACAAGACACCAGAAAGAGAAGCGACTCATCATGCCAAGGCAGTAGCCTGCGGTTTCGGGACACGTGGACTGTGGGAGCAATTGTGCAAAGAAATTCTAAAGCATCAGTTGGTCGATGTGCATGGCAACTTGGCGACTCGAATGATCGATTGTCGGGCATTGCGACAGTAGGATTCCTGCAATTGCAAGGCAATGGCAATGCATTTCTGTCTAGGCAGGCCGAGGTGCTGGGTTGTATCCTTCCTGGCGCTTTACACGGGGATTCAGCGGCTCCACAGCCTCTCAGACAAGAAAACCGCGGGCAAGTTCGACTAAGCAAAGCATGGACCAGCTACTGCAAGACAAGAAACGGTACATGATATGCCTCAGTAGACTTTGTTTTTGTATTTGTTTGTCTGTGTCTGTGTCTGTGTGTGTGTGCGGGGAACAGGCCATGATCAACCTATATCAACCTGGCATTCCCCCGGAATGCAGGCAATGTGGCGATTGCGCAAACATCCCGACTTTGAGGGGACGGGACGACGCTTTGTTTCAGCTGTTACAGTAAGCGGTAGAAGGCTGTTCTCACTTGCTCGGTTTTCAGCAAACTACACCGCAAAACCTGTTGTGACTTTGATGCATAATTCAAGACCCGTGCAGTCACGAGGCATTTTAGTCGCTTACCAGCGTCGGGTCTGGAATTCAACTGCGGAGCGGTTTATCAAGTTGATGCAGGGCCATGTAGATGTCATATACAGTTGTGAGACTGTTGCTGTCACTCATGGCGTAATTACTGCACCGAGAGTCCGTTGGCTACAAGTTTTGTGGATGTGTATGTGCCTGTATACAAGCTTTGTGTGCCTGCGCCTTCGTGCTTGTGTTTGCAAACTCTCTGAAGGAGTGACTGGCGAAAACATCAACACGAGTCGGAGTCGGGGCTCTCTCATGCCGCTGTGCTCAGAGAAGCTATATGCATCGGAGAGGAGAGCATCCAAAGGCAACGGATGCATGGCTGCCATTTCACGCGTTGTTAATGGCTGTGAGTTGTGACGTGCGCACGGTGTGAGAAGTGCCCCGTGCTGGCTTTCTGCAGCACCATTGCTAGCTGCAACATAAGTACACAAGCACTTAGACTTGTTTCGAAGTCGTACATCTGGATGCACCAGTGTTACGTCTTAGAGCCGCGGATCTTGTTACACTATGTCTTTCCAGATCCGCAAGGTAATTATCGGCGCCCGCAGCACTTGCTGTATGCAGATCACAGCGTCTTGGCGGAAGTGCCAGTCATGCACCCAGGACTTGTGACAAGAACCCCAAGCAAATGTCTTCTGTCTGAACATTGCCGAGTGGCAAAGATCGAGAGGAAGAGCAAGGAGCCAGCGGCATATGCGCAGATCTGGCAGAAACTCACGTCACGAGGTTTGACTGAACGCTGTCGACCAAGCCCAAGACGGCGGGATGCACAGACATGGCCAAGCAGAGACAAAGGGCTACTAAACGAGCCGAAATAGCTGCAATGTCGGGTTGCGTTCTCTGCAGTGCCAGCAAGCAACTGCAAGCTTCTGCGGCGATCTCAGGAGTTTCAGCAAAAGCTACAAAAGCCACAGCAAGGACGTTGCCTCTCTGCGGTGGATCGAAGTTGGGGCTCTTCGTGACCACATTTGCCTCTGTCTGCTAGGCGTATCTCCCCCTACACTTCATGAAATCTGAGGTGCAAAGTCTCAGCTGCCTAAGGTCGCCACTTGTCTGAGGCTCGTCAAGGCAGCCTTCGTACCTGTAGGCGGAATCACGGATTCAGGAGTTCATCAGCTTGACTATTGGCAATCCCTGCGGTCTCACTGACGTCCGTCTGTGGTTCGAAATTTTCCACGCTGCCGCTTTTGGTCAGGATCAAGCATCGGGACCTCGAAGCAGAGTCCCCGAAGCAACCGCATCAAGCCGCTACCGACTTATGGACTGATGGCCACTGGCAGCTCGACAGCCTCGGGTGCTTCGTGACATAGGAACCCATGTAGGTCCATGTGGCGGTGGAAGTGAGTCATGGATGGCAGCTTGCAAGCGAATCCGGAACTTGGAGTGCTTGCCTGGCCATGCCATGCCACGCCGCTGGCATCTGCCCTACTCGCTCTGGCACGTTGTGACGTAGTTGTCCTTCTCCCAAGCTCCCGAGCGAAGGGCCGATATTGACTTCCTGGCTACCCTGGAGGAAAGGCTTTGGCTGCATCCAGCGATGGCCCCCAATGCTTTAGAACCCAGCCGTGCAACTCCACCACTTCCTAAGCTCGCAAAGCGGAGGAATTGGGAAGCATCGGATTCTTGCATGTCACTCCGGTCACTCCATGTTTTGCTGCTCAGAGTCGTGCGGCTTTGGGCTTCTAGGAAAGGTCACAATTGCGCCTTGCAGGCATGTGCAAGACAAGCCTTGGAGTGATATCTGGCTTCTTCAGTGGCTGAGAAGTGCCGCAGGCCGTTCGGCGCCAGTCTGCATGTGAAGCTATGTTTCTTCACAGGTATACCGATGCACCTGTTCTGCCTTCAGCCGGACTGTTTAGAGCTACCTTCGCTGTAACTACCAGTGCTGAACACACCTGACATCTGACACCACCGTGCACCTGATTGTTTTCAACACTTACAAGTCCTCCCGTTCCTGCTCGGTCTGTACGAGTAAGTTTCGACAGGGTGCATCCGGCCGGAGGATCGTCCATGTTGAGCACCTGCCGCCAATCTTCCCAATCATGTTGCGGCATGCCCCGCCTGTTCCTGACCGTACGTCTGAAAGGGATGATATTAAATTGAAGACTGCAAGATACGAGAAGTATTCGCTGAATCCGCTACCAGTGACCCCACACCTGCCTGCTTGTGTGACAGAAAGAAAGACCGCTATGCTGAGCTCAGCCTGCCTCCTTCTCTTCTGATGTGCTCCCGACTGCCTTCAAGCGCGAGAGTAGCATGATCGTAGTTCCGTGGCTTTCCATGATGTGCAAACCACGCATGGCCAGACTCAGCCGAAGAGCAAAGCTGCTGTCATCCGTCTCGCATCCTAGACAGACCTTAAGCCCAGGCTCTGACAGACGGGACACGAGCACATGCTGAAGGATTTTGGCCAAGGTGCGCCAGCTCGGAAAACAGTGGTGTAGTCCAAGATCTGCCAAGAAGAACCGGTGGATGAATTCGGGAAGGTCTGGCGTGCTGGCCTTGCCCGGCAGGAGGCTCTGCCATCGGTCGGCATCTTCTACCATCATCTCCAGCCAGTGATCGAAGCGATGCACGAACCCTCGGGTGTGAAAGAATTGATGCTAGATGGTGGCCCAACTGTTCGTGCATCTGGGTCTCGGAGAACGGATGGCGTCAGGCAGTCGTAGAGCTGTCGGAAGAAAGGCGAAGCTGTCCAGCAAATCACTGACGAGTTGTATCCTGCTTCATTCGGAATCGCAGAATGGTCATGTTGGCCCCTCTCCATTAGCCCATTGCAAAGGTGCTCCTCTGTTAACATGTGCATCGGCTGCTCCGTTCTACAGGCAAAGCATGGGTCTCCTCCAAGTGCCAGCTCGCAAGCGACGTCCTGTGCTCACTCATGTACGAACAGTTTCTGCAAGCCTCCTCTCGTTGAGATTGCGGGCTCCATTATTGTACGTTGGCTGTTCAGCGTCGCCATGTGCACCGAAGCCTACTACAACCTGTTTTCTCATGCTTGACTTTGAAGCTTGGAAACTTTCAGCGTGCTATCCCCATCTTGGGTCTGATGGCATGTCAAGCTATCCTCTGTGCCGAGCAAAGCAAATGGGCCGCTGTAGGCAGCGAGAGGATCCAGGTCCTTGACAGGTGCGCTGAGTAGTGGTCGAGCCTAAACCCTCCGAAGCAAGACAGAGTGAGGCAAAGGCTTCAGTGCCAAGACTAAATTGCAGCAGGTCCGCGCCGAGAATGACCTGGTCAAGATCCAAGAATAACACGCCTCAGTTGACAGTGTTGTCCTCGCAAGCAACACTGCCCTTTTTTGCGTGCGCTGAGGTATTTTGTGCACCTTGCTTGGCTGGACGAGCGACGATTCCCATCGAGTCCTGCTTCCTCACTGAAGAGGTAAGCCTTACCCCACCACAGCGGCAAACCTGGTGATCACACAAATTCGTGTGAGACGGGAGCTCAGGAAATCGAGGATTCAAGCCCATGCGAACAAAGATAGACTGCAGAATTCAAGCGAACTTATGGGCAAACTGCTGTAGAGCCGCTAGCAGGAAGGGGCCGTGCTTCAATGCTGTCATCCAATCCTGCTGGGTCCTGCGTGGGCTGCTGTAAAATATGTGGACATGACTGCTCCCTACAAAGGCCAAAAGTGCTTATCCAGGACTCTGTCGGGAACTGCTTGGAGCTGCTTGTGTGGTGCTTGAACGTAAGCATCGCGCTTGGACTACAATGATCCAAGCTGCTGATGTTTCCTGATTGTTAGTAGATGTAGCCTGAGAAACATCAGGCTTGGTAGTGTATGGCATTATCCAAGTGCTCATGCGTGAACTCCTCCGTGAAGCACACAAAACGCGCAGGCATTCGAAGATGTCGCCGCGAGGCCGCCCAAAGTCGGTTGACATAGACAGACGAGTAACCTGGAAAACGGCCACAGCCACGGTTCGGTGTGATCCCCAAACATTGAATTCAAGACTCCCAATAAAAATCTCCTCAACTCTCTGCTTTCTGTCGCCAAGCATCGCTTGCCCCACTTCAGGCAGGCAACGACCTGGGAGTAGACACAACACAAACGACCGGGACACGGCATAGACGCCTCGAAGCAAATGGAGCATCCGAAGAGCCAATGAAGGATCTGGACCCGGGTCCAACTTCTCCGCGTCAGCAAGCTTGAGGGGGGTGGGCCTCTCCTGGTCTACTCTGTTCTTGCTGGAAGCATGGAATGCCAATTAAGAAAGCCTAATCACACTTGCCCCCCATGCAAAGAACATCGGTATACATCGGTAGTAACCATGCAAGGAGGTGCTGTCAGGATGACAGCATGTAACACGTACAGTTTAACAGCCTGCAGCTTACTGCCAGCCAGCCGCCTTCTTCTCGCCCTCCTGGGACTCGTGGTGCAAGATGCGCTCCCACACTGCCTGGACCGCTTCTCTACGACGTCCCAGGTTGCCTCAACGGAGCAGCACGCTTCAGGTTGGCAAACTGATGAAAATGCGTGCAAGTTGCGCAGCGCATTTGCTAAATTCATCACCGCCTGCTCGACAACACGGCGAGCAGTGTATCCATTTGCTCAAAGTTGTCTGGATTCCCGAATACTCCCTACTTGCAAGTGGCCTCTCGGCTGTCGGGCTCCAGCTCCAAGGCCTTCATGTATCGCAACGGGAGGCTTTCTCGAGACCTCAAAGCCTTCTGTTTTCGCGCGACCCTCGGCATACTCTCGCCTTGCGACAGTGGGCTTCGGCTGACTCGCAGCGGCCCAGAGACAGCTCGACACCTGTTCCACTTGTGTCGCGGCGGAAGTTCACTGTAAAGTCTGTTGCGGATGTTGACTTAATCACAGATTACACGTTCTTTGCATCCGTTCCTTGCCATTCTGTCTGCAGCTCCCGCCCCATCAGTTTTCTGAGACTTGGCGCTTTTGATGCCACGGCCTGCCAAGTTGGTCCATGCGCCGGCCATTCGCGGGCACCGTTGCACTGCAGACTCGAATGCGTCGGCAGCCTTGAAGCACCCATGGTGCCAATTTATTCCGTGCTGGGTCAGTCTCCACCGCTTTAGCCAAGATGCCTCCTGCCAACGGCGGAGCTTCGCCAAAGCTAATCCACGACCAAAGTATGCTTGACCAGATGGAACGATCCTCGGATTTCTGCTGACCCATGCCTCCTGAAAGAATCATGAGATGCCACCCGCACAAAGCTAACACAACTGTGCATGATGGACACGGCCCACGGGTGGAAAAAAGGATGCTCCAGTCAAAGCTACTTGTGGATGTCAGATTTTGCTTGTCTGCTGCCTTCTGCTCTGCTGCTGTTGCTTCTCCGTGAACCAAGCCGCGCAAGCGAAGATGCAAAGTGTTCTGCAGCACCTTGCCCAAACAGCTTTCCAGGCACTATGCTGTTGCGCTACTGGCAAGTCAACACCCAATCGCTTGTCCCCGTGCTCAGCATGACCGCAAGAAAAATTAGACTTCCTGTGCAGGTGCACATCTTATGTCTTATACGATGCGCTCCTGCTCGACAGGCTCAGGAGCTGGCGTTCATGCTGGCCGGCCTGCATGGAACATTTCTCTCGGCTTGCTTGGCCAAAGGGATCACTTGAGACTGTGATACAGCAGCTGTGGGCCGCAAATTCAAGCGCTACTTGTAGCTACGATAAGAAATAGCACCTGAGCTGGAGAGGAGGATCTCACGATGACAGGCCTCTGCCGAACAGTTTGTGGTTTAGCATGCTGGATCTCCGAGGCCGGGGATCCGAAAGTAATGGCATGAGCATGGCCAAACCGAGCTACCATTGGGACAGAGTGCACTCACGTTGCGGCCTTCTGCAGCAAGTTGGCCCATTTCACATGCCTCAGTTCGCAGTTTGCACACGGCGCGAACTGTAACGAAATCCGCAAAAGTCGAATCACCCTTGCCTGTCCCAACTGCTCTCGTGCAGCATGATGCTCACTGGCCGAGCTGCAGCAAAGCTTTGAGAACTGGATTCTTGGCGGCCGTGGGCTCCTGACCAAACTCTGGGCACGATGGCACAACAGCTCGCAAGGCCTCAAGTGGAATTGCTAGTGATAAACAGTGACCTCGACCGTTTCACAATGCACGTGTAGCCATCATCTTCGGGGAGCACCGAAACATGCCTGACTGACAAGCTTTCGCCTGCACTGTTAGGTTGCATCTCATCAGGTACAGGAGCTACTGAAGAGTCTGCCGACAGCTGGGCGCAGCTAATTCGCAACAATATGTCTGCTTGCAACTGCATCTGCCTCGTTCCCCACGGGGGCTGCTGTCAGGGTGCAGCTATGACCTGGGACAGTAGAATCAAAAGGCCCGTGCAATCTGCAAACACGTTGTGTAAATCCTGCAGCTGGAGTCCGTCCGCATCTTTGCACTTTCATGCTTTATCAATGCGGCACGGCCGAATCCGAATCTGAAAAAGGCCTCCAACAATAGCTGTGTACAAAGGTTTCACAAAGGACCCTGTTGAATCGAAGAAATGGACTCGGGCATTGCCAGCACAAATGAAGACTGTACATGTATGAACATGTACTAGAACGGCACGTGTGTCACAAAGGATCCCGAAAGTTCAAAAAATGTACGAGTTTTGATGCTGAGCTCCATCCTGCTTACCCCACCCACGTTCTCAAAGCACGTTTCGTCGAATCTGAGCAGCACACCATACCCTCCATGCTCCGTCGGAGGGCACTCATCGTCCATTGCTTGGTTTTGGCCGTGGCTCTTCTTTTGTTTAAAGTCTACTCCTGAATTGAGGGGTTGTGTTTTCGCTGTGAAATCAGACAACCCAAGGAACCTTCATAGAAACCTTTACTCTAGTGACTATGGTGACTGGTGTCGGTGGCACTGTGGGCTGATGCGACTTTTGTTTCGCCTGACTAGCCTACTTGTATCTAGTTGCACCAGTTTAGCACGTTCGATTTTCTGAATTGCGGCGTGACTTTGCTGATGCATCCCCTGGAATGGGTACTCTGTCAAAGTCGGCACTCTGCTGCACAAACCGCCGACTGTTTGCAAAATACTTTGCAATACTCTGCAGCAAGCCCGTGGTCTTCTTGCTGAGGGCACCAGACCGGTCCGCGTTCGCGGAACCAAGCTGCACCCGCCTTGTCAGCCTCCTGGTTGTGCCAACACTGAAATGACTGCAAGAACCGGCTCGAGCCAAGGGGCTGAACTTGTTTGTTTATTGGCGTCAGGCTTGCATTTTCTCGTAGTGCAATATAAAGTTCTCATGCTGACTCATGCTTGTTTGAAAAGCCCCTGCCAAATGCCACGGGGTATCACCTGATCCTCTATCTTTTCCATGGCGCAGGTGCTGCCGGATGGCTGGTTCACCAGTCGATATTCAACGGATATGCGATGGGGAAGGGCATCCGCCGGCAGCTCTGCGCAGGCGCATGGCCAGATTAGATGAAAGTCTGAAGCGCCACTGTTGTCAACAACAAACAAGAAGTACTCAAAGGCCTCTTCCAGTTTTGCTGAAGTGATGTTTAGGAAGCCTGGTAGCAGAAGCATTTGGACACGCTGATCAGAAGATGAACCACGGCCAGATCGTACACGTACAATGGGTCCATGGAGGGACTGGACTGCATCGAATTTCGAGGGGCAATGCCTGCGACCCCGAGCCCGGCCTTGCAGCACCTGCACGATGAGACTACCACCATCCATACTGACCTGGATGTTGCCCCAGCAAGCGCCACTTGTCCACAGAAGGACCATTCCGACCGGGTGTGATGAAAAGACCAATGTGTCCTGTATCAGGTCAGCACAGCCTCCGGAGCGGTTCACGTGCAGTTTGAATTCTGGCGCCATGCAATAAGGCCCACCACAGGCACCAGCCGCGGAAACGATACCATGTTGACAGTATGGATGTTCGTGATAGAAGTCTCTCCACAAGTGGTGGAGCTCACGGCGTACGAAAGCAATGTCCTCCTCGTGGAAAGGGTACGGTAATGCTCCGGTCCTATTGCAGGCTGGAAGACTTCGTGTGTCGGCGAGGATAAATCCCAAGGCCCTCATCTCAGCTTGCACCTGGTCACAGCTCGCTTGCCCTTCGTAAAGCGGTGCTTCGAAGGTTCCCTGTGTCTCCATGACAACAAAGAGAAGCTGTTTCAAGTATGGCCCAGCTGACTTGACGACATCCAGGTCACTGCCTTGTGCATCAATCTTCATGCGCGCGATGGGGCGGCCTGCTAGCCAGTCAGCAAGCACCTTCGCCAAAGAAATGCACGGCACATCCCTGTGCTCAGCCAAAGCCGTGCAGTTTTCCTCAACCCATTTAGGCCAGGACTTGGTGTACCTGGTCAGGGAGAAAACACAAACTGAGGTTGAAGGATTGTGTCCGTTGGGGATTCTTCTGTCCTGCCTAGCTGACTAAGTCGCGAAGCAGTTGGGGATTGACGGTTGAGAGTGTGGGGTTCAGGTTTAGGATCCAAGTCTCAGGATCCATGGAACCTAGGTTCTCGCAGTTTAAGCTTTGGAGTTTGAGGCTGGGGATTTGAGGGACTTTGAAGGTCCGTGAAGTTGGGGGTTGCGGTTGGAAGGCTTCTACGCTCTCTCTCGCAACTCGGACTTGGGTTAAGCGGCTACAAGTCGTGGGACATGCAGAACTTCAAAGCGTCCATTCGGCTCTCACGGCAACTCGCGGATTTTTCACACAACACCAACTGCGATTTTACCAAAGGACTGTTGTGTATCAAACCAAACCTACGGACAGCTGAAACACAAGGCGCAAGTGCGCCTGTTCTTTGCATTGGCCCACCCATGACCGGCCTCGTTTCATCCCGGTTGTGCCGCTTGAAATCACTTGCCGGGGCGCGAAGGCTACTGCAGCCATCAATCGGAGCCACATGGAACGTGGCTGTTGGGCCATCGCAGGTACTGACTGCATAAGGCAACACCAGGGCCCGCCGATGCTGAAGCCCCAGACTCGCGAAGTGAATGCTGGGGGCGCCGTAAGAGAGTAAGAAGCCGTACTTGTCTAACAGGGGCTCGAAACTGATCAGAAAACCTCCAGCATCGCCAGACCCGGATCGATCTTGCAACATCGGCTCCAGGAAGTCTCGCTCCAACTCGTGGTTGTTGGCTCCCACTTCCAGAAAGAAGAAGGAAGGATCACCATCCAAGTGCTGCCAGTTGCGCTCGAAGGGCATGTAAGCCACCTGCACATCTGCAAAAAGGCCAGACACCGGCGTGGCAGGAGCCATATTGGAGGAACGGCTGAAACGACAATTTCTTGGGCCAGGCAATCTCCAGCGACGGCCGGTGGAGTTGCAAGACGGTGTGCTGCGATATGCGTCACCGGGCCACGCTACTCCAAAACCCTCGCTTTCCCTACCCTGCCACCACTAACCAACTAGCAGAATGCAAAACAGAAAGGTGGTTGAGTTCTATTCTCGAAGCAGGGCAGTTGCAGGCTGATGCAAGCGGTGATTCTGTGACAGTGTTACGGCCGCGCTGGCCACTTTCCTGGGTAGGTTTGCCTTCAAAAGCCCGGTCTTGTTCACATCTCCTGCCGACTCGCTTTAGGGGCCTCAAATCCTCACGTGGTGACTGGATCAGGGGAGCCCCTAGCCCCTAGTCACCAGCTTCGCTTTTACCGGGGTCCAGTCTTGTGGTCAGTGGCTACTAGTAGTTGTCTTTACGTTTTGTGTTATAGGCCCGATTCTGTAAAAATGGAGCAAACTGTATTCATCGGCATCTCCTCGATGGACTTCAGCGCTGTGGCAACGGCGCGCTCAGCGGTGGGCAAGGGCCTAGTCTCAGGTCTCAGTCTCCGCGGCACACACCACGAGCAAAATGCACAACTACACTGCACCGAGGTTCCCGCGTTTCGCGGACAGCTGGTATCGGCACCTGCTCCAAACATGCCATGTCAGCAGTCTAGGTTTTTTGTGCCGCATTGGATCTGCGAAGGTTTATAGAATAGCCATCGATAACGTGTGAAAGTTCTGGCACAATCGCGGCCTCGACCCTTTGCAGCCAGTTTTTCAAGGCCTCAGCTTCTCCGGACTGCGTTCATCTCCAGGCGCATGCGCTGCATGGGTCTGAGTGCCCCGGCCACATAAGGCTCGCACTCCTGCAGGCTGACTCACAGGCAAGCTTTGCCAGGGTTTGTCGGCCCGCGCCGCATCCGCCTCCAGGACGTGCTTCGCTGCACGGTGGACAAGGAGTAAGTACGATCGGCTTGCGGAGCCTCAGGAGATCAGAGCACGAGTCTGCGAATCACCTACCACAGTGTCCGTGGCGATCCTGAGAACCTGGCTGCCACCGGCCATGAAGTCAGACCTTCGCGGCATGCTTACGCCAAGCCTCGCAAGGCTTTGCAAGGGTGAGGCGGAGATGTGAACAAATGTGGCAATGGTCTTGCATGTTTCAGACATGTCCACAACGTCTGCTCGCAGGTGGAAAGTGTTGCGACTGCGCAGTAGACATGGGCGACAAAAGTAGCAGCACCAAGCTCCGTTCGCTTGGGTCAAGAGATCTGCCACGTCTAGACCTGGTCGCGGCTGCGATCGTGTTGCTTCCTACATTGAGGACTTGTCCTGAGTCTCAACTGGCAATCCGACGACTGTTCTGAGAATGGATCGCGCATGGGGTCTCACAGCATCTTGCTTGAGATCCTTGGCAGCCATGGCACAGGCTCCCGCACAACTTGGAGAACTTACAGAGACCATTCTGATCTAAACTGCGAGCAATGCCGCATCAGTGAGGTGCAGAAAGACGCGATGGCTCCCCTCTTTTACGGACGAGGCGTAACGCCACTTCTGAGTGGTCTGTCCAAGGAAACTGGTCGAAGAGGCAAGCTGCTTGGATCCTGTGTCGGGTTTGTCGGGGCGCATCTGTGCTCGCTGTACACTGCAGCCAGCGCCTTCTAGACTTGAGGTATGAGCACATTTTGCGATCCATGAGAGCCTGACATTTTTCTGTTCGCAGACTCAGCCTTGCACCTCGAACTGCTCTGACAGCCCCGTCCGAGTGATGGCTCGGAAATCTCGCGTTTTTGTTGCTATGTTGACTGTTGGTTAATGCCAGCGATGCTCAGCCATGAGACATCTGCCATCACTGGATTACCATTGCCCGTTGGCTGTTCTGGATCTTCCCAAACCCTCACTTAGCATCGGTCTTCACAGAAGCAGGTCTGATTGCCACTAGATGCACCACACAAAGTCCTGTGACTTTGCAGGGCTTCAAGATCGCGTGCCAAAGACCTGAGACTGCGTGGAATGCAGTCGACAAGATCAACGCAAAAAACGCAGTTCGCGGCCTTGGATTGCAGGAGACGTAGATCAAATTCTCGAAGCTTTCCACTATCGCCCGGGAACGATCATCTAGCCCGCAGCCTCACTGCAGGTGACGAGAAGGTATGTTCAGACCCTTGGTAAAAAAAACAGCAGCACCAGAAATCCACAAATCCTTTTGAACAAAGTTTGCTTTCCCGAAGGCCGGGAAACGCGGAGGGTCCACAAGCAGGGTGGAGAAGTCATAAGGGCCAACAGGTCGGATTTGGCTCTCCTGACGACTAAGAGACAAACCCCAGACAGAAAACCATCTTATAGCTAAATATCGACCTGCGGGTGCCTCTTCCTGATGATGACCGAGTGGCCAGATCCAAGCTCTCCGCTCGGCATCTGCGAAATTGTAGATTGTGGACATCCTGAGATCGACATCACCCGGAAGCCACCGCGCTTCGCTTTCAGACAACAACTCGCGGTTGGAGTGAGGGCTCCAACTCCAAACAACTAATCTACAGATGCACTTTTCGTGTTGAACGCAGACTGCTGAAGGGCACTGTTCGGACTGGTACCTGGTTACTTTTGCCTCTTTGGCATGCGCCTCGTCTTGGGGTTCAATCAGCGCATCGTGATGCAATGCAGCATCAAGCAATTCTGCACCCTGATTGCTGCCTGAGTCTTGCTGGATGAGCCAAGACTCCGCCTTCTTCGCGCATATTTCTGCCCCTCTCACTGCTGGCTCGTCTATCTCGTTGGCGAGCACACGGCGGAAGTTGCGTGCAACAGGTAGTGTGAAGTTGCCGTTGCCGCAGTACCTCATCTTCTTGCCGAATGTGACAGTGATAGCATTCAGTGCACATCCCGGCATCCCCTCATGTGTCGCGACGCATTTCCAGGAGGTCGCGGGCTTCTCCCTCGACTTGTGTCTGGGCAGCGACCCAGGACTGCATCTCTCGATTCAGGAGGAGGTTTGCTTGGAAGAAGCTGTTCTCCATGAGCCTTGTCTTCGAGACCAGTACTGCAGGGAAGCACCAGCGGATACCAGCAGACTCCGCCCCTCACAGCTCTCACGCAGTGCCAAACAACCTGTATCGGTAAGTGCCTCGCCATTGAGGGTAGACTTTGCCCTCGATCTCGTTCTCCTGTGCGCCGGGCTTTTGCGGCAGTAGAGCTACATGCCGTACTACGTGCATGCCCCAAGAGCGCAAACCGAAAGCATGCACAGCCTGCACAAGGAAGCTGCGGCGCGGCGGCCAAGCCAACCGCTGACCCTTTGCCTTTGATGTGGTAAGGGGAAGACAGCCATGAACAGAGCATGCTGCAGTTTCATGTTTCGAGTCGAAATGATAAATGCACCTCTGTCTCGCTGACGGGAGTGCTGCCATGTTTCCCGAAGCACCACCACTGCATCTAGAGCGGCTGCTGCCTGTTGGGCTTGCAGCTTATCATCCTCCCGCGAGAGTCTCCTGGATATCAGAAGCCAAACTGGGTAATCATGAGAAGACTGCGTGCATGGGACCTGTGATAAAGGATGCAGGCGAGTGCTTCGTCTGTTGTTGTGGAGATGAGCTCGACCTGGAAAGCTTTCTCCCGGAGCCTCAGTCCAGCAATGCACGGTCAAGGTTCGTTTCCTTGCTCTGTTGCTGACCCTTGCATTGTTAGAGGCCACCGCCCTCAAGAGTACTGTTCATTAGGCCCTCCAGGTTGAGGTGGTTACTTTTCTCACCATTCGCACGTGTCACACGGACAGCTTGATATTCCGACGTGAGCTTTTGTTGCTACACCACGCCCGCAGTCTCAGTAGCCCTTACACACTAGGTGACAGATCCAGTGCCACCCAGTAACCGGGCCTCGCGAGAGAGTAGGTCGAGAAGATCTGACATCAGGCGGTTGATGCGTCGGGAAGCCAACGGATAGGAATCGACCTTTGCTCCCACCCTCTTGCGGAAGTTCATGCCTGCCCGAATCTGGATATGGGTCTGTTTCAGACCAGGCGACGAGCGCGTGCAACTCGAAGACAAGCGGCAGGCAGCCACTCTGTACTGTCTGGGTCAAACACGACGTAGCGTACCTGGCCCAGGTTTGCGAAATGTAACAACATAAGCAACGTTGGGGCATCTGGCGCTGAGTCGAACGAACTGGCCAGTATGGGCGGGTTATTGCACAAAGAGGAAGAGCATCAACGTCGATCAGAAAATATGATTCCGGAGACCTTTTGCCAGATTGACCCCAAAAACAATATGAAACAACTTGCAGAATTCACACTGCGCGGCAGGATTGATTGTTTTTAGAGTTTTCGGTTTCTATGGCGGGTATTACCGCTTGTTCCGCCAGGCCTGGCGGGATGCTGCACATCACCGACTAGAAGCATTAACGTCGCTCCAGTTGCCGCAGGTTAGCCCCTTTAGGTACAGTGTACAGCTTGGGGGGGGCTTGTAGTCCTGGATTGGGGGGGCTTGTAGTTCTTAAAGGGGAGGGAGTGTTGCGTAAGCAGTAAATACGTGTGACTTCTCCTCCTACTTTGTCGATACTCAAAGAAGAAGGAGACGTCACGCGAATGTACTGTTCTTACGCACCACCCTCCCCTTAAGAAGCACGACCCCCTCCCCCCTTCCAGTCTGTTAACATTCAGGACTACAAGCCCCCACCCCCGCTAACCTTGGTCCAAACCCAGAACAACGAGCCCTGCCAAATGCGCGGTTCGTGTCTAGGAAGCACCACGGCCGGACTGGGGTGATTTTCAGGGGGCGCACCGCGTCGCCGTCGTGCTGCAAATCGAACTTCACCCGGTGCCGGTAGTGGAGGGGTTCCGAACATGCCACCACTTCCAAGCCTGAAGTGGGTTTGGCATTGCCGCAGCCCATCGCAGCATCGCAGCCGAGCCTGGCCTCGTTCCACAGCATCTTCGTCCAAACGCTGCCCCAGCAGCTGCTGCACAGCATCCACCTCCGTTCGACGAGGGAATGTTGGCAATGAAAACTATGCTATTGGACGCGCCCGATCCTCTTACCTCAACCCAGAATCTCGGCACAACCCGTATGTCAAACACACTGAGCCTTCTCAGAGAGGTCTGAAGGGTAGTCATCTGGGTCCGGAGCTGTGAGGGGTGGGCAGCGAGCCCTCGGCTCTGCCGCCTCCCCATCCTTGTCAGGCGTTCTCTCGTGCACCGCTCACACTTTAGGAACTTGTCAAGAAAGACTGCAGCTTCTTAGTGGCCTTCGACTTGTGGCATCTTGTGAAAACCTGTTTTTTGATGTCCCTAGACTTCATGTCCTGGCTTCGGGCCAGGTCACGAGTGCTGCGTGCCAGTTTTGGCGAAAAGGTTGTACTGAGAAGCCAAAACCATTGCGCAGTATATCGTATATCTGTCAAAACCTGAGAAGAGGACAAGCTCGCCGGCACCATAGTGCTTCCACAACACAACAACAATCGACACAACTCAAAGGCCACACCTTCCAAAACAGTCCAGAGCATGCGTACGCCCAGCTGCCGAATGAGTTGCAATCAGCACATGTGCCTTTGTCAAGGTGCCGGAACCCGTTTCTTGCCACTACGACAGCTGACACAAAGTTAATCCCCAAGTAGTAATTTTGGGTGAAAAAACGTTGTGTTGCTCTCATGGAGTGCTGTTTCGTTCATGACTCTAGCACATCGGTCTCTGCTCCGTAACTCGCTCATAGTCACCTGCCCATTCCACCCACCACCGTTCCGCATCGTTCCGCGTTCAATAAATGAGGCCCCTGCACCGGATTCCAGCCGCTGGCGGCGGCGCCAGAACCGCCGCATCTCCTTTCTGAAACGCTTGTCAGCATGCGACGGCCCTATGCAACTGTCAGATCTTGTGTCGTTCTGCGGTGCAAATCACTCTGGCTTTGGCTCCTTCCCTGGCGAGTCGGAGACTTGAAGGTCCACATCCGAATCGGAGCTTTTACAGCCTCCATCGCAACCACGTCGCGTCACGGGGCGATAACACCAACTTCCGCACCTGAAGCCACAAAGGATTTTGAAAGCTGCACTTATTTGGCTTGGCTAGCAAATGTCCACACCATGCCCATGCAGCGCGCATTGAAAGTACAGTGCAGTCCGGGCACGAGGCTCCCAGGAAAGCCAACGAGGCACGGGCTTTATGCGACCCTGAACGACCGCCTGGGCTTCTTTGCGCGGAACGGGGCGGCTCGAAAGCCCTGGAAAGGCAGGCGCGGGCCCTGGCCGGCACAGGCTGCAACGCTGCCATTGAAATCATGCAAGCCAAGGACTTTGCCTCAACATCTCTGCCCTGCGCATGGGTTATTACGTCGAAATGCTTGTGTGACAGCACTGGGAGAGAACTGCCTACCTGCCTATAGCCTCGTTCTGTGCTAATACTCTTTGAACCGGCGAGCTCACAAGTCATAAAGATATGGGGGGAAAACTTGGCCAAGGCAGGACTTCCAACCAGAATCGCCCAGAGCTCTGCATAAAAGAATCGGTCTGCCCACTGTCCGCTTTTCGCTGTCTCAGCCTCTGTAGCTGCTGTAGCTGTGGCCATGGTTTCCTCCGCACTCTTAAGACAACTTCGTCTCACAAGTACAGGCCCTCGAGCTCCTCGAGACATGCCGGCAGGTTTGTGGCAAAGGATGGGCCGGGAACGTCTTCACCGGTGTTCACCACGACTCCTTGAGCAGCTGTGGCCATGGTGCTGCATCGGCCTTCTCGAGGGTCAACACCTGGCTCGAAGAAAACGTTTGCTTCTTGCTACATGGCCATTGAGCAAGCATGAGCAAGCCACGAGCTGTCCAGGCTTGCCCATGGTCCAAGAGCAACCATCGACCTCCTTTGGTGCAGGACGAACTCACTCAAGTGAGTAGCAGAATGCTGGCTAGCTCCTACCGGAAGATGGCATGAGATTTAAGATGGTCAGCCAGTGACTTGGAGCATGTTGGAGCTACTGCCATGTTTTGAACTGCTTCTAATTGACAGCTGAGAGTCGACATTCTTGAACAGTTTCAGTGTCAGGGTCTTCGGATTGGAAATTCTCACCTGCCGCGCAATTGACGAAGTGTCTGCATGCTGCAGGATGGCATCATCATGCTTTCGACAAGCGCCAGTGCGTCAAGCCAAGCACTGTCAAGCAAGCTGACGGAGTCTTACACCCGGTGCACCTCTTGACGTCGGAATTCAATCTTCACCTCACGACATCACCAGGGCAACACTGGCCGTCGAGCGCACAGCAACAAAGCTCCACGATATTAGCTCAGTCAGCGCTGCTGACAGGTCAACAAAAGGCCAAATCAATCAATACCTGATTCTGACGAAAACGTATGTTCCCACTTTTGCAGAAAGGTGACATTTTTCCTTGTAGTCGATTCTGGAACATCCAGAAGAACTTCCACCTCCTCACCGTCGTCCTTCCACGTGTACCTATAAGGCGGTCAAACTGCTGCTGCTCAAGTCTGATCTGGCCAGAGCGTCACTGTTCGGAAGCCAAGCGGCCCGTCCCCCACGCCCTCAGCACGCTGATCAGGATCTCCGCCTGAGCAATGCATGACCAAGGCTGGACAAGCTGGCCAGTATGTGCCTTACTGTAGCTTGTGGACATCAGGCTCTTGGTCCACCCAAGGATCCCCGACATGCCAGGCATGCTTTCATGCTGTGGGAAAACCAAAGCATCCAACCAAGTCCCAGCCGCTGTCTTGCGCGGCTGCATGCTGTTCCGGCTGTGTAGACTTCTGGTGTTCCAAGTTCTCTGTCACCTGAGCAATGGCAGCGGCTTCCGGCTTCCTTCGGGGGAGTATCTCTCGTGACTCTGCAGATCCTTTGACTTCAAAGCCGTGGAATCGAGGAAGCCTAACTTGCGCTTAGGCAATTCTGTGGAATGCAACGCTCAACCCATGACTGAAGTGTCTGACTCTAAACCTGAGCACCAACAAGTACTGGTAGCGAACACTGGTTTCCGGCCATTTCGGAAGCCTGGTTTCGACTTTAACTAAGCAAAGCGGGTAGGAGCTGTAGGATGGTGGGACAAGGGAAAACTTGTTCACCTTCGGAGCTTGTATTTTCTATTTCCGATCTAGGCATATAACACCTTCGTTCTGATACCAATCCTTGCGGCCTTGTGCGCTCACATGCTCCTTCTGAGCTCTGTACGGCGCGCTGCATCCACGGCGCCCCGGGTTGCAACTCGCCGATCCGAAAGTGCACATTCTCTACCAGCCCCCCCTCGGCAAGGCCGTCAGGGAGGAATCAGGGTTTCGACTCAGACTCTCGCACAAGTCAGGCATGGCTTCAGGCACTAAGTCCGCTGAGCTTGCTACTTTAACGCCAGAATCAAGGTTTAGGGTTGGACCCTAGTTCTTGAAAAGCCGCATCGCTCCATTTCAAGCGCCCGATGTACACATCGCCTGCAAGCACGGCAGTTTCGTGGCCTGCGGGCCTACGGCATGCCGAGCCCAACATCTTAAACCCTCACTTCCAAGGTTGGCGGGTTCACCAAGTTTTCAATGCCCCTGGCGGGTCCTGGCTGTCCAGTGCAGCGAAATTATGCTAAAGGTGTGAAGCGATCAAGCCAAGCTCGCGGTCCGGCCTCGGAGTCGGCAGCTTGACGGGAAGCCACAGGACCGGGCGACAGCGCTCGCCCTCCTCGGATTCTGTGGAAGCAAGTCTGCAAAGTCGCACGCGCACACACGCACACAGACACACACACACACACACACACACACACACACACACGCGGAGACACACACACACACAGACAGACACACAGACACACACAGAGACACACACGGAGACACACACACACACACAGACAGACACACAGACACACACAGAGACACACACGCAGACACACACACACACACACACACACACACACACACACACACAGACACACACACACACACACACACACACACACACACACACACACACACACACACAGACACCACACACACACACCACACACACACACACACACACACACAGACACACAGACACACACACAGACACACACACACACACACACAGACACACAGACACACAGACACACACACACACAGACACCACACACAGACACCACACACAGACACACACACACACACACACACAGACACCACACACAGACACCACACACAGACACACACACACACCACACACAGACACCACACACAGACACCACACACAGACACACACACACCACCACACAGACACACACACACAGACACACACACACACACACACACACACACACACACACACACACACACACAGACACACACACACACACAACAACACAACAACACACACACAGACACACAGACACACACACAGACACACACCAGACACACACACACACAGAGACACAACACACACACACACACACACACACAGACACACAGACACACAGACACAGACAGAGACACACACGCAGAGACACACACACACACACACACCCAGACACACAGAGACACAGAGACAGACAGACAGACACACAGACAAAGTCAGTCACAAGCACACGCACATACATTGACACATATTGACATATGTTCCCCCACACTGTTGAATTCGTCCTTGTAAGCTGTCTCCACCCTCGTTCTTTAATCGAAAAAATAACCTACATCCGACGCAGAAGGATTCGGCACTATTTTGCATCGCCTTTGCTTTCGCTTGCCCTACTTGCAGGAAAGGCTCTCGTTCACGGCCAGGCCTTTCAGCCTCAGCAAGCCCAGTTGTGTTACTACGAGCATCTCGGAAAGCCCAGCTGAAAGGCTTAGAAGCCACGTGGGTCTTAGGCATGGGCTCTGAGGCCTCATCGAGATAGGCGTAGACTGCTTCTCTGCCGTTCGCAGCCTGAGACAAACTAAACATCGATACTTGCAATCACTCTTGTTCTGGGTGCAGGCCACTTTGCCGTTTGAGTGATTGCTTTGCACATCCTGCTGCCCAGGGTCTGTAGGTACAGCCAGGCTGAAGGACTCTGCCTGTCCCCGCATCACCAGCTTTCCTGAGCATGCAAGAACTCTGTTCATGCGTGGGTGCTGTGCAGTCTGCCAGCACGATTGTAAGGGCAGTCCTAATCCGGTAAGATTCCGCTGATGTCCGTCGGGGATTGATTCACTCGCCGAGCCGTTCAGGAAGAGAAGACTCGAATCGGTGAAAACCTTCACTTTGCACTTTGGCTCGCACCTTTTCAGTTGCTATTCGTGCCGCCGTCTAGGCATTTCCTGTAGCGGAGGAAAATTGAAGTTTTTTACCGAAGATGCCGGCGCTTTCTGCCGAAATCTTCCGCTGAGGCAATCCAGCATTTCACGGCCCTTCCCCAACCCACACATGACTTACTTAACGACGTCCGTCATGTTGCCAAGCCAAGCATCGCAACACGGCCAGGTCCACTCCCGCCTGTCCCTGTGCGGCAGCATAAGCGCGCAGTTCCTCCAGAGCTTCACGTGGGCATATGTGGATTGTAGTGATGCGCTCTTAAGTCCCACCAGCAGAGCAGACAATGATGACTTCTTTCAACCACCTAAATGTTTTTGTGACGATGGAAGGAATTTCCTGTCAAGCTCGCAACCACATGGGTTCACTGGCTACGAGCCAGCAAACCGTCTTCCAGCCGACAGTGCAGATACGTTGCCAACCATTGTCGGGGCAGAGTGGCGATTCTCCGAAACAAGCCGGCTAGCTTATGTGATGTGGCACATACCTGGTCTAGATCAAATCGAAGATTCGCAATCCGATTCGCACGCGGGGTGAAACTGGCATACACGGCGTCCAGAATCTGGACAAAGGGCTAGCTAGCCTCCATCGCTTGGAGGAGAAAACAACAATTCCCCCGATGACTTGCTGCACATCAGGGGATGGGAAGAGTTAATTAGCCAGCGAGACTGGTCACTAAACTAAAGATGTCGCTCCGGGTCCGCACCAAGTACGCCGATACTACACGCAGCTTGAATAATGCAGCACCGTCATCTTGATGTTGACCTCGGCTGAAACCCTTTCTGCATATTTGGAACCACCGGCTTGAAACTCCTATTTCTCACTTACGCATGGAAGTAAGAAACTCGCACAGCATCCTTGGTGCATTTTTGCAACCTCTGTTGAAATCAGTGAAAGTAGAGGCAGCTGTGCTTGGTGAGGAGCTTTCGTAGCCAAAGCCCTGAGAAGCTCTGGACCTGGCAACCTCGTGCAGAGCTCTGCAATGCGAGCACGAAAGGCTGCGAACTTCCTGCCACTATAGACCTTAGACTTACACCAATCTGAAAGACCATATGACAACTGTTGGCTGTACCGTGAACCAAGCTTCCCCCCTTCCGGGTACCTGAAGTGAACCACGCATCGTACTACGGGACGTGGCTTGATTGTCAACCAGGCAGCGATACATCATTCACAGCGACGATGTAATCGCCCGCAGCGACACCGGCCTGTTCCCGTGAGAACGGCTACTACTGCAGCATGTGCAGGCTGCTTCACAGGCTGTTGTTGGAAAAGGACGGCAGGAATCGAAACACTGTAGCGCCGTGCATGCCGCATGGTTTCCAAAAAGCGGAGGAGCATCCCTAGAACACCCAAAAATGTCGGTAAAGTTGCCTCCGGGTGATGGCTGTTCCATTTCCTTGGCGGCTGTGCCAACCACCGAACTCGAACAGAAATGGACGTATGCTGCTGCTTCCTGCGTGCCGAGACCAACGTCCTCATGTCAGCATGTTTTGCTCAGCAGTATGTTTCGCAAAACCTTGCAAGACTGCTGCATTCGTGCGTCGCAACAAGGCCATCATCATCGATCTCCGATATGATTGCCCCAGTGGAAAGGTCCTGCATGGAAGCACTTGGTTTAGCTGACTGCTGTGCCAGGCATGAATGCATTGCATAGTCACAGTGTCCGCGGAAACCAGCCGTCACAACAACATGCCGGACTGGAAGGTCCTTGTACTTCAATTCCATGCCTAGCTTGCCAGTGTCGGATATATGCACCAGGAGCTTTTGGGGCCTCACCACCTCACATGGCCGCACAAGCACCCAAACAGCCACGAACACACGCAAGCAAGCCAGCAACCACCAAAAGCAAACACACACTCACGCACAACACACCACAGACAACCAATCAGCACAACAAGTCATCAACATCAATGCAAGCTAACACACCAGCCGCCAAACCAACAAATAAACAAACATGCACACACACACACACTATATTTATATTTATGCACACATATATGTATACCTTTGTAATACGTATGTATGTATGTGTATGTATACACACATCACAAACTTACAAATATGCATAGCCATAGTCCATCGTGGACTGTCGCGGCAGGCCCAGCTGGCTGCAAAACATAATGTCCGTGCTCCTTTCAAGAGTTCTGCGATCACCAACCAGTGTCCCTTTCGTCTTGCGGTCTTCAAAAAATGCAGAGCGCCCAGCAATATGCTGAGAGTCATGGCACCACAAGGCTTTGCAAGCATGTGTGCCGGCATCCTTTGGCTGGCCACACAGGTGTTGCTATATAGCCGACATCCTTGTTGTGACCGCGACATCAGTGCCAAACTGCCGCAATTACAAGCACATATAGCATAACATAGCAGCTATAGCAAAGCACTTTGCAGGTGGAAGGTCACCTCAGATGGAGGTGCAAATACGCCACTTTTGCCAAAGAGCCGCTGAAGTGAGCCATTGCCTTCTCTGGTTCCACGGCTCGGCTTCTGCCAAGGAACTGGTGATGCTCGTATCAGTCCGTCCTTGTCACATCTGGGTGGCACGCTTTGCGATGCTTCTTCATGGCCTGTTCCTTGGCCCATCTGGAACAGGTGGAACCTAGACCAAGGGCATGACCGTTCGCGCTGATTCATTGTTATGGACGCAATTAGCTCCGGGATGACAGTACGCTTGCGGAGCTGCACATGCGGTCCTTACACCAAGTTTTGCAGGAGTCTTCTGGTGCTTGGTGCCCACTGCGAGGGGTAGCACACAAACGCTTCGACTTTGCGTTCTTGGCGGATTCGACAGGTTTGAGCCATGCAGTTATGGAACAGTCGCCCTTGAAAATCTTTGGCGGGCCAAGGGAAAAGCTTGGGGACCTTCTCCCACTAAAGCAGTTGCTCTTCACTTTACCAGAGCCCCGGTAAATCGAAGCAGATTTTTCCAGCTGTTGTGAGAGAGGCTCCTCCTCATACTCATGCACCAGCGGCACGGAATCCGGATCAACTCCGGTGAGGTGCCCATCCTTAAGGACGATAGGGTGGACTCGGATTTATGATTGGGCACGGCAGACATCAAGATGCACCCACTCGAGAGGATCTTTCGGATATCTACTGCACCATAAAGACATATGTATCTCGGTCTTGAGAACAACAGCGGCAGCCTGATTCATCGAGAGCGCCTGCAGAAGGCTGGGGGACATCAGAAACGGAATAGCAGCTCGGGGTCCCGAAGAGCACAAAGTGGTGGAGCTCTTGGAGCTCATGGGAGTGAAGCACACGCCGGTCACCAGTGAGATCCGTCTGCAGCTTAAGCGGGAACCCTGCGCTGCGAACGTGTCTGTCACTGGCGTAAACACCTAGTGCTTGGGGTGGGCCTAAAGCTCACACCGCAAGGGTGTGAAGGAGGTGCGTATCGCACAGCGATGTCTGATGCCCGGACCTCAGTCGATGGTTTGCGGAGCCGGAATTGGAATAGAAAATGGAAGGTACATATAAGGAAAATGACAGAGCAGAGTAAAAGAGTACATATATGTATATGTTACATGTGCACATACATGTACGCATGTACTGTAGGTTATATATATACACAATGTGTGTGTATATGTGTGTTTATAGTTAGATATGTATATAAATATGTGTACCTATGAACATGCACATCAATATGTTTATACACTTTAGATGGCCCCCGCCTGATAGGCATAAACACACGAAAAACAATGGACGCACAATCAAGACCAGATGCCATGACCGACCCAGGGAATGAAAGAACAACAGAAACACCACAAGCAACACGGAACAACCATCAACGACAAGTATCATTAACATGAGAATCGCATGAGCATAGAACCAACTTCGCAACTTACACTACCATCTCTCGTTGCTTGTGCAATCGCCTCGAGATTTTTTCATTTTCTGGATTTGAGATCTACTGGACCTGGGAAGAAACCAAAGACCGAACCCACTGTACACAGGCAAACATTGGAACCGAATGAGCATGGAACCATCTCCACACCGAACCCAATGGAAAAACATGACAGCATGCGAACAAATTTGAATTTTCATGTCCGCTTCGTGTTTTTCCATTGTCCGTTTGATTGCCTGAGAACCCGGATTCCATCAGCGATCTAAAAATAATCCAGTGTTCATCTTCGAGAGGCTTGTGCCTTCGAGGCCTGCGTCCCCAATACGACGAAAGCCTGTACACGACCCATGGGCACTAGAACCTTAAACCCTAAACCTTCACTTGAGTGTGGATGGTCTCACTGCTGCCACCCACAAGGATGAAGTCAGATCCAAAACAAGCCTCATCAGGCAAAGAGGGAGCTACGACATGCTAAGATGAGAGCCCAAGAGCTTCAAGAGTCATACTTAAAACTATAGTGTTGACAGGACGGGGGCCTCATAAATATACACATATGCACGTGTATATGCATACATGCATGCATGCGTAAGTGTGAATGAGTGTGTACACTACGCGCACTACACAGGCACGCACGGACACACTTACACAAACATACAGAGACCACACAAATACACAGTCCGTCCACCGCCCTCTAATGCAGGATTTAAATCATCAACCGAGGTCGTGCTGTCGTGAACATCCATGTGCAGGGGTTTAGAGTTGAGGTTTAACTCAAAGGCCAACTGGGCTTCAACTAAGGGAAAAAGAACTTGTAGCGGTCTGATACACAATTCGAAAGTATCCATCAAGATAGTGGCCTGAATGAAGCAGATAATGTTCTGTGTCATACGCTATAAATAACTATCATAAGGAGCCTTAAGAAATAGTACAATCATTCTCCCGTCTTCTAACAACACAACTCCTGGGCTCGATGGTGAAGATGGTGTCGGAGGTCCAGGTCTCAAGCTCGAGTTCACCAAGGCCGAAATATCATGCCCGGGAAGCTACATGTACACCTACTTGTCGAGTATCCTGGGGAACAAAGGTGAAACCTGTTGGAGTATATTGGGACTATTTTTGTAGTATCTCACCACCGAATGTCAACGGCTCATGATCACAAAATGGCAAAGTGACAACCAAGCGAGGGGCCTTCATTTTCAGCGTCGCAGCCCCTTTCGCTGCCAGACGCTGAGCAATCAGACCTGGGCAGGCATCTTGCGTCTCAAGGGCGAACTGCCAGGCCGTCACGGAGAGTCGGCAACTCACGGGTCAAGAAGATTCAAGAAGGCTGAGTCGCTTTGAAGGGCTTCTGCATCTCCATGGTGGCCCTCGACGCTGAGGACACGATCATGCTGCTTGAGAACGCCTTGAGAATCTTTCCTGGACACGCGGGGATGAAGCCTCTCGCATCTGACTTGTGCCGGCAAGCTGGGAAAGGCAGCACAGGTTCCTGTTGGCGGCTCCATCGGAAACATCAGTGATGAGGAGGGCTTGGCCATCTGGACTCTCGAACGAGATTCCCATCATCAACCTTAGTCCCGAAGCCATCACCGTTTCGGCACTCACGCTCGGACAATCCAGGCCGAGGCATACGGTCCGAGGTCTGCTGTGTGAAAATGCATCCACGTTGATGGTTGAAGAATTTCTGTGTATCGGGCACTTGCCCAAGGTTTTTGTAACTTGCAGCCCCTTGTGCTCACAAAATCCAGTCCCTGCAACTCGGGCTCTTCCAGCCGATTCGATTCTGCAAGCTTGGCGGGCTGGGTGGGGCTTATGTTAAACCAGGGTTTGCCGCGCGGAGGAAGAATGGAAGAAACTAGGACATCTGCACAGCCAATTCTGCACGAGCAGCGGTTCTGACGAGTTCAGCGGGAGTGCCACATCTACTATGGCTGCAGGTTGAGATGCGACCTTGGAGGCGAGGCTGGCGCAGCAATTCCTGTCTCCAGGGAGGCCGGCTGTAGCCAACAGAAGCACACACAAAAAAGCGACCCCTGACGATGACCTACAACAAGCCAGTCGAGGTGCTCTTCTGGCCACGCCAAGCAACACTGCCGCTTCATCAGGCAATACCTCATCGATGGGACATTGCTGCGGGAGAAGAGGAAATGAAATGCCAAGTGCCATAGGCCCAAATAAAGCATTTTTAGCCATTTCCGAATCGACAACCCCCGTGCTCTTCACTGCATACCAAGGTTGCGACAGGCTGGTCTGATGCCAAGGCCTGTTAGGTGGAGAACTTCTAAGCTGTTGAACCTATTCTCCACACTCGAGTCCCACTGTTCCACCGTGACCGGCATACCTACCTGATGCCTGAGCCTTGACCCGCCGGAATCTCGACACAAAAGCAGAGCCTGCACTACAGCGTCTGGGGCAACGTCGACAATGCCAGTAGGCTTCTCATCATCGCGATGTGGCGCTAAACAAGGACAAAGCATGACCGTCGCTCTCGAGCCGAAACATTGTGGCCACCTACCGGGATGTTGGCATAGAAACTCTGCCTACCTCGCGAAAGCACAGCTATGCACAGTGAAAAGGGTAAATGTCGCTGCCGTTCGTGGCCTCGTCCGACAGGCTGCAGCCAGCAAAGCGCGGCCCTAACCTTTGACAGGCTCTTGTGCTGGGATGAAGCGGGCTGAAAATGATACGTCCGATCTGCCTCAGCCTCTCCTCGCATAGCGTGTCAGCTCATGCTCCCTGCTGTCCGACAATTGGTGGAGCTAGGTGGCAATGTTGGAAGTGCATCGCCTTTGCAGTGAGGACCATCGAGTTCCTGGCACCGCCATGGAAAATCTCTTGGTTGACAGGGCACTTTGATGGAGGAGCCATTGCTGTCGACAACTGCGATTTACCGGTATTTGCCTGCCTCCGTTTTGTTTGCTGCGTCTGCGGATGTGAGCACTCGAGTAAATCTGCCTTCCGCGCAACCCAAACTCGTTGCGACTTCAGAATCAAAATGTTCCTTGCCCCTGAACTCTTGCAGGCTTTGGCGTGCAGCAAAGTGTGATTCAAGCTGAGCCAGCCAGCAATTGCTTCTGCCTAGACGGGCAGTTAACGAAAGAATGTCAAATGCTTCTTGAAGCAGTCACACAATGGCCCTGTTCCTGAACGTCTGCAAGTATCTAAGCACCAATGGACGATGCAATGTGACGAACGCTGGTAATCTTTTCAGCGGAGCTCCAACACAACTAATCGGCTTAATCGCTTCATCTCGTTTCGGAACCCCCCAAGGAACAGCCGACTCAGGTCGCGCAACGAATCAGGTCAAAGGCCTTAGGGATAACAACCCAAGTCTTCTGTGTATGCGTCCTACTTGATGCTGGCGGCATAGTGTGCAGTGGATGGTGGCGGCACTGGTATACAGCAGCAGTAGGAGTCAGCAAAACTAGTAGCTCCTGATTCCCGTTCAGGTGATCCAATTTGTGCATGGCCCATGGTCAGAACCGATCCGAATCGCGCTTCTAATTCACAACGGAGCCGCCCACCAAGCACGACCCGGAACCTGCTACTACCGCCAAGAGATCCCTGCTGCTTACCTCGGCAAAGGTGCCTCGCAAGTCTGCGCATCCTCAACAGGGATGCGGACGAAAGCGAAGCTGCGGCCTGCCAAAGCTTGCCATGCCAGGCTTTCAAGCGATGAAGCGGTGCAATCTAAGGGAAGCGACTTCTCTCTCCAAGCGGCGACAACATGTTTTCCAGCCTTGGCCACTGGGTGCAGGTCCACTTGATTGTCCCGGCTCCTGCCGAATTTCTGACAGCTATGCCATCGATGTTTCAGCACCCCCGGCTACAGTAGGCATCCTCGATGCGCACGCCCCTGGCGCGCAACCATGCCATTCGCTCCTCAGGGGTTTCGAACGCCTGCACGGGCACCGTGTTTCGAATTTTTGCGTTTGCACTAGAGGCGACGCAGAAGCCTGCACGTCAGCAGGTTTGTTTTAAACTGATGCGTGCGATTAGGACCACGTATTTTGCAGGTGTCAAGGTTTTGGTCTTCTGTGTGGGGTGTGGGTGGGCGGTAAAGCTGTATTAACTTCAGTCTCTGAGACGCTCATCGCTGAACCCCTGGTTTGGGGGTTGCAGCAGGTACGGCGCTCGACAAGAGGGGGATGGAGGGGTAATGACTTTCGGCTTGTGAGATTCTTCAGTCCTCTCTCTTTTTCGTGCTGTTGCTGTTTGGCTGCCGGTTGACTTGGTTCTGGTGCTTGCTTGGTGAGAAGTAGTGCAAACCAAGAACAGCTTTTTTGTCTTGCAAGCAGAAACCGCCGCGCATGGAAGTCTACCGTTTGGGCAAGTTTCGCATGGCCGAATGGTCTATGCAGAGGACTCGCCAAGAAAGATCCCTGGTCAGCCCAAGGCAGCAAGCTGGAGGCATCTCAAAGCAGACGTGCTCTACACCGTCGCTTGATAAAAAAAACGTGACGGCTGAAGGTGACACCCGATTAATGCAGTACCTGCATGTTCCGTTTCAATGCGCCGAGGTGTGGACGGAAACCCGTCGGCTGGCACAAACAAGAGTAAGCACTGGCAAACTCTGAAACAGCAGGACTTTCGAATCATTGGCACGGGGTTGTCCTTCTTGTACACACAAAGCACGCGTGAAAGCAACTCTACATTCGAAGCATTCAGAACAAACCCCCTAAATACTGGTTACCACGTTTTTGACAAGCTTTACCCTACTCTGTGCAAAACCAGCAGTGGTCACAATCTCGCGCATTACTTTCAGGAGCAACTGTCAACAGGAACATGCCGGATATCTGGGCCTCATCATCCTGTCCAGCATCCTCCATGCTGGGACACTACTTTTCCTGTCTGAGGCCTGTCTCTGACTGCACCGTGCGATCGTAAAGCAGTTGCACCCGTGTGTGAGAATGTCAGAAACACTTCGCATTCTGTGTGGCTTGCTTCCCCGACAGACTGTGGCATGGTGGCAAGTTTCGTGCTGGCATTGAGCTGAGCGCCCCTCGCTAGCAGATCGACAACAGAGCTTGGAGCAGCAGTGGCGCGGTGTGGGTCTGACTGGTTCGAACGGCCAAACGAGACATAAGCTTGGAGTGCCGTGGTCCCGACGAGCAAGGCAAGCAGGTGATTCCCAAGCACTCTTGATGACCCGTTGTTGGAAAGCTCATAGAGCCTGGCAGCACAGTGCTTGTGCCGAGCACTGCGCGTACGAAGAAAGCGTTGAACTCTCACTCGGCAACGTTCTGGTAACTTCAGACAACGTCCTGCTGCATGCACCAATCCTGCACTAAGTTTTCAGCAAGAGATGGTCGAAGTATGCTTGCAATAAACAAGCCGGCCGCACACGCCTTTCAGAAACAAGGGCGGCTGTGACACCTAGGAGAAGATTGAAAATTGCTTGGCAGCAGCAAGCCCAACCTAAACAAAGGTCAACGGCTCAAAGCGATACCCTACGCTTGGTCTCCCGGTGAAGAAGCGTAATCGGCTTCACACACGCGCCTATCCACGTGCTCATAATACATGCTTCATGCCACGATGGTGTTAGGAGCCGGAGTGCCTCGCTGTCGCAGATTGGCCAGAGCTAACTTACTTAATTCGGTGGCCCTTATCTTGATGACGAGCTTCAAGATTGGGGCAGCATCAGCTGCCAACTGGCTGCCAACAACGTCACCTTTTGCCAACCAGACGTCGCGCAGGTATCGCCGCGAGCCGGTGTCAGCTTTTTAGTGAAACATTTTAGATCTTTGAGCTTTCAAGAGCTCCCAAGAAGTTGAAAAGCCCTCCCGGCATGCAGGGCGCCTTCTAGTCTCTGGGACTCAAGGTTTTTTGGTCATCCCTTCAACAAGCCTCGAAAAAGTCTTCCCCTAACGTAGACCAAGCAGCCGGAAGCAATCCTTCACCGCTTCAGCCCGCTGCACTTTGACAGTTGGACCCAAGACTTGCCATGTGCTGGACCCCATGGGTTAGTTTCGTCAATAGCTGGTCATGGGAAACAACTGTAGTTGTCCTTACGCTAACAAGGAGATGTGGGCTGGGTCCTCATACCCTGCACCCATTGATGTCCTCATCTGTACTACTCGTCTATCATTTCTTGCTATCTATCGGTCCGTCAACAGTGTCTACCTTGCTCAGCCATGCACCTTTTTAGCCACTCGTCTTAACTCGGCATGCCAATAATAAAAGCATCAACCTCAGTACGGCTGGGCTTCACTATCACTACATTTGGCACGGACAACCAGAAGAAAAATCGCCAGCTACCAAGCGCTTTTTGCATGTCCATCGTTCATGGACCCTAGATAGATACTAGCCCAGCACACAGAACCTACTGCTACAACGGAAGTGAAACGCGAGAGCCAAGGCCACAGCATAATCTCACACACCCTCACCTTCAGGCGGGGCAGAGTGTTCCTGGTCTGGCGCAGCCTCCGTCCCATCGTCGTCAATGATGCCGCCCACCTTGTGGATGCGTTCTGTGTCTTGGAAGCACCCACTCCCTTTCAGATAGACCCATTCACAGAATGCCCCAATTGTCAAACTTGTGTGCAATCATGGTGATCGTAAACAGGTTCTGCAGCACGCTTTACAGAGCCAATCAACACATTCAAGTTCTCTTACGTGTGCAACCCAGCAGCCCACGACACGAACTTGCCATCCTGCACCATGAAACACAGACTTGCTGCTGGTGCAGTGCTGATCCGATAAACTGTTGGTCTAGCTGACAACCGACCGATCAGTGTGGTATGATATGAAGGTCACCATTAGGCCACAGTAAATCCTCAAAGCTCCACTCGAGAGTCAGGGGTTCGGAGATGCGAACTCAGCTCAGGGAGATCGTCTAAGGCTCGTGGAGCCAAGGCATTTTCGGCTTTCTCAAGTGTGCTGTCTGTACGAGCGTGGGAGACTGGCAGCCAGTTTGAGGCCTCTTGTCTCGCTGCGAAGATCTCCGGGAGCGACCATTCAAAAGGCACGACTTCGCGCCTTGTTCTTTTTGCCGAACTGTGTCTTTTCTTCTGCGGCCATAGGGGTAAGGGCGTCCTCTCCCCGTGTGCGAGTGCGCGAGCCGTTTCGAGCCTATCGTCATGAAAGCAGGTCTCCTCCAGCAACGTAAACTCGAGCGCTCCTAAGCACGAGTTTAGGGATTGCCTCAGTTGCCCTCGCGCCACTTCATATCGCAACGAGTGGCATGCATCAATTGCCCAAGACTGCGGGATAATGTGGGTTTGTCGGTCAAGCCTTCCTCCAGGTTGAAGTCAAAAGAGGCTTCTCGTGCGTGCTGTGGGCACGCTGTGCTTCCCCCCCGGTAGTGGAGCATCTCCTCTCTCTCGACTCCCCGCCTCTAAATTACTAAATCCTGTGATCGGTTATCGGTGTGGTAGCAATCCTTTTGAAGCAGGTTGGAGCTTCGTGCTCCAGTGCTACCTGCCGTGCGACAATGTCATCTTTCTTGGGCGGGTCCGCGTTTTCGCAGGGACGCTGGACCTTCCTGACCAACCCGCGCTTCATGCAACAATCTAACACACACACACACAAACGCACACAACCTGCAGTCCTTCCAATTGCTCTGGCGTCGCAGGCCCTTGGCCGTTCGGGCTATGGCGGTGCCATGTTGCTTGCCATCCTGCAGAAACCCTACAAAAAAGAAGAGGGCAGCTAGTTTCATCGAACTGCGTGGCATCTCAAAATCATGTGCTAATAGATGCAAAAAGGAAGGTAGCAAGCCATACCCTGCTCTACAGGCCGGCTCTGCCTGGCCTGCCACTGTCCGCTGTAAGACCGCCCATCCGGCCACTTCCTCAAGCCAATCCTATCGTCCGCAATGGTGCTACGTGTCTGATCTGCGAGATTCCTGCACCCCTCAATCATTGAGCAGCTCAGTCACTAAAAGCTACTTGAGGCTGGAGGGCTCTTCCAAGGGTCCAACCTAATTGCGCAGGGGAGTTATGTGGCTGCCACGGTGCAAGGTTCCCTCGCCGTGCTTCCGCCCATCCAGGAACTCGCCCTGGCCATGAGGGAAGGATCAAAAACACCAGGGTAGTGGGAACCTCTCGAACGATACTGGCTGTCTGCGAGAGAACGATTATCTTTTTTCGATCGCTCTGCCGCTATCGCGTTCTACGGGTATTGACAGGTCAAGATCCCGGCAGAGGCCTAAACACCGGATTGCACTGTGTTGCCCGTGCCTCGTATGTGCGACCATCTGACCACCTCAGCTCACCGTTGTCGCCTAGCCGTCTTTGGCTCGGCCGACAATTCTTTTCTACTCCTGTGCATCAGTCGGGACAGGTCCAGTTATGTAGTCCAGCAGCCACATCTTCCCTCTGGGCGCCATGGTGTTCCGATTCCACTGGCCTCAATGGGCTGTGTTCTCACTGCAGAGCATGTTCAGGCATGTCGGCCGCAAGACCGCGTGGTGGGCTGAAAGCGGCAGAGAACAGAGGGCCAGTCCAGTACTTGTAGTGGCCATCGATCTGACACTCCACCCCCCCACCCCCCCCCACCCCCCCCCACACACACACACACAACCGCAACCACGCATGAAAACAGCCCGGGCTGCCAGAATAGCCACGGCCATCATTCCAAGTGTAAACGCCTTCCCCGTGCATGTCGTTATTGTCCTGAGCTGCGCCATGTATTGCAGAGGAAGGCAGATGCCGAGCTCGACTGCTCGCTTGCTTACACTGAGGTCGCATCGAACTCACCTTCGTAGCGGCACAGCGTGGACCAAACGAACTTCCCGCGCCCATGTTTGGCACCAGCCTGGATAACACGAGACAGCAGATATTACAACGAGTATGCAGTGCCTGGTCACGCAGTGCTAGTCATGCAGTTCTTGCAAGTTTCTTGGATAGCGCCGTGTGCACTCTCTCGCTCACCGCTTGCTTGCTTGCTTGCTTGCTGCTCGCTCACCGCCTCCCTCTTTCTCTCTCCTGTGCTGTGTCGCCCCCAAGATGCTAGGGTATAGTGCATTGACATGACGTCCTGACTTTTCCCGGATCCCTGAGCCAGACGCTTCTGCAGCGGCCTTGAACTGGCCCTCGAAGACAGATCCGTCGGCCCACTCCTCTTTGCCATCTCCTTCTTGAAGATCGTTGACCTAGGAACTGGAGCATATTTGTTGCAACACTCGCTGCTGCTCTCAGGCCGCAACCCACTGACCCGTGTACTTCGCACCCGATGGATAATGATAGACGCCACTTCCATCTTTCTTGTCATTCTTGAACTGACCTCAGCGCAAGGAGGAAGACAACAGGACTTTCTGCGTTTCAATGTCTGCGATCAACCGATGTAATGACAAGCCAACCTGCTCGAAACTGCACAGTGTACGTCAGCCGACAAAGACAGAAAGTCAGGAATGATCTCCGAGTGTTCTGAGTGATATTGCGGCTTTCATGCATCAGCATCATTCTCTGCACAAGAGATAACTCAGGCGGTCGCCCACATATTTGGAGCCATCCTGGTGCATGCACTCTTGACGCAGCCGCCACGAGTCTCCGATGCCAAAATCAGAGTCCAGCAGGGCCTTCAGCGTGAGGCTTCCCTGGCCATGCTTCTGGCCATTCAGCCAACCACCTTCGTAGCTGGCGTCGCCGGCAACCTGAGCACTGCTCGGAGTAAACAAGAACAAGAACTTTTTGCCCTATGCAAGCCAAGGGAAGGAATCAGAAACGGACCCGAATCTCGTCCGAAAGCAATAATTAGTTCTGCTACAGGCAGGCAGTGCTCGGAGACCGGGCTACCAGGCCTCATATGCCTTGTGAGAAAGCCCTCGCATCAGCAAGACAGCCGGAGCAATAGCTCCTGTCTATTGTGCGCTTGCACGGCAACTTTCTGGTTAATTGTACAAAAGTCTAGCATCATTGCTACTTTCTGCTAAAGCGTAGAGCGTGTCCATGCGTGCCCGCACCTTCTCGTCACCAACCACCCAAACTTGTTTTCGCTCGGCCCGCTACTCTGGCTAAAGTGTCGTGCAGCTCTAATGAAGCTTGTTGTTGCCACCAATCTGGTCGTCGAACTGGCACTTGCCTTCCCCCCTGTGCACGAAGCACTCCCCGGAACCACACTGCATGTGAGGACTACTTGATGACTACCGTGATGTACTACGAGGCCGTGTGTGTGATCTCCAAGCTCCTGCAACCTGGTAGTCGCCCCCCATCTGAGTTTTGAATGTTTGGCCTACTACATGGCTACGTTCGCAAGCGGGTCGCCTGTGCCTTCGTTGCCCCGCCACCGGCATCTGCCTCAGCAACACCACCGGCGGAGAAGGCCTCAATCTGGCGGTCTAGCTTCAGGGCTGGAATTGCAGGCAACTTTGAACAGTCCAGTACCTGTACCCGACACAACATCATCTTTCAGCTTGCATCGCTAAGAAGCTGATGGCTATGTAAGTTACCCACAAGCATACACATGTGGGTGTGTACACTCGTGTATATTGCTGTATATAAGAGTATCTTGTAGTGCACTATATGGTAGATTGAAGTGGGCTAAATTACGTACTAGCGTATATTGGGTTATACATTCATATGTATGTATGTGTATATATATATATATATATATATGTATGTATGTATATATTCATGTATGTATGTGTGTATGCATGTATGTGTGTATGCATGTATGCATGTATGTGTATTGTGTGTGTATGTACATGTACATGTAGATGTGGATGTAGATGTATATGTGTGCTCCCAGACTACGGCCAACAGTTGGACCGCCCGATCCATGTGCTGCTCCAAGGGTCCGCGGAATCGTCATCTCCCTGGCCCAATTCAATCTGCAACACCCTCGTTCTAGGGCTCAGCTCTAATCTTTCGGGAACAGCCGTAAAGGTATCCAGTCGTCGCTTCTCGGCGCTGCCTTGATGGTTTGGGTAGTGACTGAAGGGCCCCGGTCACAGCTGCATGGCCCTTGCCCCATGGCACGATGCCTCCTATAGAGAATTAATGTCACAACAATGCTGCTCTCTGTCGACCCAAACGTCAGTGCTCGCCTCTTGTCTAGCATGGTGATTTGGTAGACGATATGTTTCCAGTGTGATTATACAAATGGACAATGGAGCTGGTCGCAACGGCGAATGAACACGTGCGTCAAACGCATCATGCAAGCTGTACACACAAGCTCTCCCATTCGACCAGAGCAGACCGCAACGGATGGGCCGGGAATCGAGCCATCATCTCCAGGAGCATTCTTTGATTCTGCTGAACCTCGGTGCATGCTCCGTCGTATGCGTCAAGAGTGTTACATGCTTGCAAGAAGTGCACTTTTGATCCGCGCTGTTCGCGGCCCGTTCGGCTGGTCGGCTTCGCAAGCATCCTGGTATCGCCGCAAAGTCTTTTCAAGGGTGAGACCACCGAAGGACGCTTCATCTCCTGGGCTGGAGCTGCTAACACGGCCGTTGACGATCTGTTTTGGGCAGGGTCGCACAATGCTTCTCAGCGGCGTGAAACCACTGGAATCACCAATCCATCACCATCCTGTTGCACGAAGGCGGCAGCAAATAAGCAAAGTACCAAACTGCCAGCTGCCACGGCCTCAAAGTCATCTGCACCGGCTTGCTCCTCATCCGTGAGCCGACCGAAAGCAGCTGGGACCTGCTAGAGTATTCGCTGAGTTTTGCGCTGACATCAGCGAAACTCGGCCTTCACAGCTGCATTGTGCAGATCTTACCCTATTCCGATGCCTGTGACAGTGTGTCGTTGCACAGGAAGGCCGTCGCAATTCGCAACAGCCGTCCGCACCTGCGTCTGTCTGGAGCTGGTGGTGGGAACGGCTTGGCGATCTGCAGTTTGAGCAAATAAGCCTATGCTGTTCTGGGGATTTCTGAGTCGAAAGGCCGCGCAGAGTTGAGCAATGTTCAAGGCTGCGGGCAAACTGAACTTGCCCCACGTCTCTGGGTCCTTCACAATTCTGATCCATCTTACGTGGTCTGTTGGTAGCTGCAAGAAGTTCTGACATTTCCACTGCCTAGCGACGCTTGCGCACTGGGTTGTCGGATCCCTGTTCGACAGTTCGCATGTAGCAGACATGGCATCATTGCTCCATACACATGGCCTCCAATGTTCGATAGCTAAAGGCTCCTGTGGAAATTCAATGTCGGATCTGTCGCCGAGCTCGAAATAGAAATAATAGTACCTGGGTGTACATCTGAGTATGTTGACAACATGGCAGGACGACCTGCCGATCTCGGGCTTATCCCTCAGCTCCCTCGTCCATGTAGTCATGGGCGCCAAGATGCTCGGTTTTCAACGATCTCCAAGTGGCAATAATGGGCAGCATCCCTTTGGGTGGTGTGGCAGTGACCTCAACAGTCTTCACTGCCATCAGAAGACATCACTTGCGCATGTCGACGGCAACATCGAGCGATCGTTGTGTTGGAAACCCCTGGCTGGCTACCTGATTATGTTGACGAGTGGCACCAGTCTCTCGCAATGCCTGACTCTTCATCATGGACACCTCGGGTGCATCATAAGCATGTATTCACACACTGCAATGCATTTCCTGCTTGCTGCTGCAGCAGCTGGCTGACGCCAAGGCGCTCGTCCCAAAAGAGGGGATAGTTTCTCTTGCACTTCGGCATTTGCAAACCTGCCCCAATATGCCCCAATCAGATTTCCAGCCAAAGGCATAGGAAATCTTACACTGCCATGTGGCTGCAAGAGAAAGTTAAGTTGGATGAAGTTGCGAGCAGTCCGAAGCATGCTCTTCTGTGCTTTGAAGCTAGTTGTTTCGCCTAGACGAACCATCGCCGACACATGCACGCAAACACCCAAGAAACGAAGCCTGGCCATGATCAGTGCCTCGGGGCAGCAGTCGCGTCAGCTCGTGTCATCTCACACTTGCACAATGGACTAAAGCGTGAGAAGTCGTGCCCCATCTGAAACGAAGGGTGCTGAGGCGCGCGCGAACATGTCTCGCTGATCTGGTGACCGAATGTGTCCTGGAGCCCGGGATGAAGGTATAGCGACACACCATCGTGACATAATTCTGGCTGTCTGGCTGGTGTTATACACTCCTTTGAAGTTTTTGAGGTCGGTGACCACAATCCGCTGCACGTCTTCGAAAGGTAGGCGAGGTGATGAGGAGCCGAAACTTCTCTCAGGAGGCTGCTGCGACCAGTCGTCACCGACGACCTGTTCAGTGAGCGGATCTATATCGAGGAAGGCTCACCGGCACAGGCTTGCGGTAGCAAGTTGCATGAAGAATGCACTGAATCTGCACTTGTTCCGGCAATAGCAGTAGGCCGGTGTCTCAAGCTGCTGCTTGACCTCGACAGGCACATCCTCCTCGTCCCCGCTGGCTTGTTGGACCCGTGGGCGTCTGCACACCATTGGCCTCCCGAGAAAGGGCAAAATGGTGCTCCGGTTGAACACCCTTTATTTTTTGTTCAGGGTTTAGGGTTAGCTTTTTCATCCCACAGCGCCTGCTTTGGAGCACCTCTTCCACACATGGGTCCGCCAAAGTGACATCTACAGGTCTTGAAAACACCGTCGCGACTGGCACGAGCTTCTCTGCAGGTACTTCGTCCTTCGTGATCACCTGTAAATCACAACTTGCAGTCAGCGGGGACGAAGTCTTGCACCTATCACCATGTGAAGACCGAGTCGCCGAATCGACGTTGGTGCAGCAGGCCAGACATTGAAATTCCGGCCATGCATCAAAGAACATGAGCAACCAGAAGAGAATGAAGCTACTTATGCTGATGCCACCTGATTCTTCCAATGGCAGTGCCCTTTGCATCCTTCCGTTCTGGGTATTTCCGACTTAAGCTTGATGCGTCTTCCTCTTTGATGCAGGGTTGCACTCTGTGACACATGTAGCGATCTGTGTAATTGCTTGTGCCTTCAAGTCTGATGGTCCCCATGCCAGGTGGTGAGTGAGGGATCTGGGCCGAGGAGTGAGAGGGCCTTGAGATGAAGATGCTGCTTTGTGGTCATGCCTGTGTTCTCGCAGTGCCCCCGAAATCCTGCAGACCAGAGAGCGATGACGCGAGCTGATGCGAATGATATGCCAAGGTAGGTCAGCCTGAAGGTCGGGCTGAAGGTCCTAGCGATATTGTAGACATGATTTCTCAAGGAGCTACTGCAACATTACATGCATCATGGACATAATCATTAGCTCATTCAGAAGAATGCTGCCAGTGAAAGGCGCTTATGCCAACACGACTGCCAAGCCAGGAGACCTGTCGGCCCTGCGGCACGGCCGCCAGGCCTGATTGCAGAAGGATGGCCTGGCATCTCATGGATGTGTCATGGCACGTGCACACATGCAAATGCTTGAAGCAACAGGGGGATCACCAGTCGGCAGCCGAGGGCCCAGAGTCAAAACCCCACTAGTCCTAGTTTGGCGTCGTCGTACATTCTGACCGGAAAACATGGTGCGGCAAGAATCCAATATGAGGCTCCGACAACTTCCGTTGGGCCCAACAACGATGTGCCTGCAGCGGGCAGCTCGGCATTACTCATTATTTGATGCCGCATGGGCCTCTTCCGAAGGCTGATCTCATTCCCCGACTACGACGACTTCGTCCCGAAGACAGCTTCCCCACTCTACTGTCCGTGTATGCTTGATATGCAACTTACGTGAAGAGAAAAGACAGCAAGGTAAGCGTCGGGCCCAGGTCGAAAATTTTCTGCGAGCCATCCCTCAGTGCACCAAAAGCTCAGGATCTGCAGTCTGCAGCCGACAGTTTGGAACATCTGTAGGGGCATCCAGGTCTCACATAGCCAAACCCCGGATGTCCACTGACTTCATCCGATCACTGTGCCACTGGCGAACTTCTGGAAAGCGACGGCAGGTTTGTTGGCCTCGGGATTCGCGAAGCTGCAGCTGGTCTCATAACTATATAGGACGGTCACGTTCAGAACAATGCTCGCACCCATGGCTCCACAACGCAAAGCAGTGCTATAGGCTCCCCACGTAGATGAAGTCGCTGCTGCCTGTGACGGTCACTCAATTGAAAAACGACTTGACAGTCTCGGAACGCGTCACGAAACACTGAACCTGCCGCAGGTTGCGAGACTGTAGAATGCGCGCCACGCCTGTGACTGAGCGAATCGGGCAGCGTTGGCACCTTCACATGCAAGGAAAGCTTCCGGTTGCCCTGCTCTGGCTTGTGCTTGGAGCTGGCGGAGTCACACGATTTTTTGGAAATCAACCGTCAACGATCCCCCGTGGGCCAAGCTCTTCAACGATGCCGGCCACACCTTTTCCCAATCTATTACCCCGTCTTCTGATTTTGCTGCAACTTTGTATCTGAATTACTTCGATGGCCTATTGCTGCAGAATGAGATGGTGGCAAGCCGTCCGCTGCGAGGCCTGTGTGCAAGCTGCAAGACTGTGAAACCAGACATGACCAAACCCTCTCGCCCAACTCAAGCCAGAAGTAAAAAGCAACGAAGAATGCGCAAAGTCCAGGGCACTGGCACGTCAGCATTGATGATGGCACCTGCGATAGAAACGTTCGTCGGAAAGACCATCTTTCCCCGACCCCCACGTCATGGTCCGGTGAATGCATGCGTGCAGGCCAGCCTTACTTTGAGCATGTGCTAAGTTCAAACATCGTCGCACCTCACCAGCATCGAACGGCCTCTCTTCCAGCCGGTTGGGCATGGACACGTTCCCTCGAAAGAAGTGCGAGCTTCACTCTTGTGGCGGCGCCAAACGTTCTACCAAACTCATGAACCCACAGAGGCGATCAAGAGAGGCGGAAGGCGATGGAAAGATGGCGAGAGCCAAGGCTGACTTGATCTAGCTTTGGACGATGGCTGGTTGGCTGGTTCCGTGCCTGTTGCGACCTGGGCACCGGCGTTGGAGAGCCCCGCCTGTCAAGTGCAAGGGCAACCCTCACATTCTAAGAGTCTCCACCCAAGTACTCGCATACATATATATATATATATATGTGTGTATATATATATATATATATATTTACGTGTGTGTCAATGCATGCGTGTATAGATGTATATACACATACCAGGTGCAATCGGGATCAGGTGCCGTCGCGGCGAAAGTATAACTTGTGGTGCCAGCCCCGAAAACTTGTTGGAGGAGTAAAACATGGAGACACAGACAATCCTGCCTAGACGATTGCGACCTAAGTATCAATAATTTGCACAATAATGCCACCATTTGAAGGTTGTTGTATACATTAGCATAGCCGTTATCTATACATTAGCAAGTTTTTTGAACAACCAATCGTAGATTTTTCAACTATCGTTGGACCAACACGTTTTCGATCAAAGTGGCGGTGAGTACACTCACGGGCTCTGTCATTCTGGCTGAGCTGCTGACCAACTGCAGCGCCTGTTCCGCCAAGCTCTTCTGTCGCTCCTGGCTCTCTTTGCGTGTTGGTGCCCTTTGCAACTGTGCTTTGCAGGCATCTCACAGCCCGTAGGTGTGCGCCAACTCTGCGGGTGCTCTGAAGGTTGCTGACACGATCAACCCAACTACAGCACAGCACAAGTCGCAGTACCACCTGCAGGCGACAAAGCTCTGTCGCCACGGCTTTCTGCTCTCTCAAGACCTTACCCATGTCTTCTTCAGGTCCCAGGCTGAGGATGCTGACCGCTGACATGGTGTCTTGCAATAAATGGTGCAGTGTGACTCACCATTCAATCGGAATCGAGGTCGCAATCATGCAGTGGTTGCAAGTGTTTGCATGCGGTTCTGCAACAAATTGGCCATAAGGGAATTGAATTGCTGTCAGACTGTCCTTTAATTATGCGGGCTCAGGTCTTTGCAGTTCGTCGTCGACGGAAATGATTGATTCTACTTCGGCGATGGCTTGGTGTTGTTGTCAGTTTTGCTATTGAAGTTGGGGTCGCATAGCATACTTCCAAGTTTTGCCAACAGCTTTCGCTCATGATCCCTGAGGCGTCAGCACTCGCTAGCCGAGCCGACAAAGTCGTGGCCTCATGAGCTCAAGGAAAGCTTCTGTTCCCCAAACCCTTCTTTCCGTGTGCATGAAGGCTTATTATGATGCCGCCATTCAGCACCCTCGCACAGTGTTGAATCTCTATCAGTACTATACTATCATTCCCTGCACAGCACCGTCTCAGGTGTCTGGCCGCGGCTTTTCCCTGCAGGATCCTGCTGCCGCTCACCTCTGCGAGACTTCGGTGCTACGGCACCGGCACATGGTAGCATTAGTTTTTTATTCAGCCTTCCCTGTGTGCGATATTTGACTAGTGACTACTGTTTGTCAACTAGCAACTAGTCACCTAGTCAAACTCCAAGCCCACACGGCATTCGCAAAACCTGCTGCTTCACGCCTTGTTTCTGTCGTCTGTACCGGCAAAGGACGCCCGGATGGCGGTGGCCTGAGCCGCATGTCAGTAGTGAGTATCACGCTAAAGGAATGAGTCGACAACAGTGTACCATCACAGTCGCGTAATACCACCAAGGGATAAGCGGACGGACAAGACACGGCTGGTGCTGAGCCCGCACACAAGGAAGAAGCCCACGGCCATCCCTTGGGGCATGAACGCCTTGACATCCGAGTCCATGAAAGTAGCACATTCTCAGCCGGTGAATCACAAAGAGTAAAACTCCAGATGATGGTTGCGGTGTATTAATAGTGCAGACCCGGCGACAGGGAAACCCCGCTTCTGCGATATGGGAAGGGGAGCTGTCTTAACCATCGCATGCGATGGCAACTGTGCTGATCAGTTTCAGAATGAGCCGCAGGCAGGGCCACCATAGCCTTCAGCAACCTTCTCCACCTGCACTCCCGGCCATGTGAATAACAAAAGGACTTTTTGGAGTGCTTTGCACAGCTACACCTCGCCATGCGAGCAGCATCGATTGAGTGCTGCTTCCTGCTGGGGATGCCACACGACGCTTCAGCCCCAGCAGAAATTTGAGCCGATGCCTCCGGTGCGGTCGTAGCTTCACGGATGTGGTGTGTGCCGGGCCTGGAAGCCTCTGAGGGCCTGGCCTGAGGGATGGCTCTAGCTGGGAGCTCCGCAAAACATGTTCCACCTGCGTTCGGATGTGCCGGTGTGGCACACTCATCCCCTATCTATGTACTGGTAGCAGATGCTGGAAGATGCAAGATCGGACCTGCAAAAGTGCACTCTACAAGTACACCAAGGCCTGCTTGGCGGTGAGATATGGTGCACAACGCCGCAGCTGGTCTTCCTGCCAAGCATTCTCCGCTGCAGTTACGGGTCCGGCGAGTGGCCCTAAGCAAAGGCCCCGACCATCGTTTGGGAAAGCAGAGTGGGCCGTTCGACCTTTGCAGGCAATGTCGCCGCGAGCCAGAACTGCATGGCACTCGCGGTCTGTGCAAGTTTCACCAGTGACAGGCAAAGACACTCCCTTGCTAGTTCATCCCAAGGGTTCGTGCAGTCACTGTATGTATAGGACAGAGAAACGAAGCAACGTAGTTCCTCTGATTTACCGGAACCAGCCATATATTGTATAATTACAAGGCCCATGTTCCCTCCTTGTCTTGTCAACCGAGGCTTGAACGGCCTCGTACAAGCTGGAAGCGCAGGGGGCGACCTTCGTCATCTCTCGATGCAATTTGCAGTGTTTAGGAACCAGCATGGGCAAGATCGTCACAAGTTCAACACTTCTTTCAACCGTTTCCAACCCTTCAGCAGGAGAACCATAGTTGCACAGAGCTGGCACAATCAACCTACGTACATAAGCTTGTGCACTGGCCAGTTTGGACGTTCAAGGATCCACTACCTCGAGGACTCTCTCCAGGTGGCCGGCGGCACAAGCAAATGCATGTGAATGCTTGATGCTTGGCTAAAACTCTACTGCCCCGCCTGTGTGCGGAGCATGTCAGGGTAAACCGCCCGGCTGCGAACGTGGAATTGTGTCAGACTGTTGCGGAACACCCTCGGAACAAGCACGCTGGCGCCTCCTCCAACTTCCGTCGATACTTCTGTGACGGTGGCTGCTCGTTGGATTTGGATGGGTCTGGCCTTGCGACTCCGAAACTGGTAGGCTGCCCGGGTGCAGTAGTTCTACGGACTTTCACTGCATCTATGGCTCTTCATCCCACTAGCACATTGCACACGATGTGGAAGAATCTTGGGTCAGAAGACTGAGCTCTTCGGTTTGTTTGCTGAATTCATGCAGTGATATGTAGACCGTTAGACATGCTTCGCATTACTTCAAGCAATGTGTCTATTACCGCGGCTGGCCACACCTGTAGTCCAACCTGCTGGCCTTTTTTGTCGTTCTGGCAGTGGAAGCATGGCACTCATGCATCTCTGCGGTAAGATCGGGGAGGGCAGAGGAAACGATTCCACGGTCTGTACAGCGCCACAAGAAACACTTCGGGACACGTCTCTGCCTGTGACCTGCCAGGTCCGAGGCCTGCGACCCGCCTTAAACTCAAGGCCTCCCAAGCACTCCACGGTTCCTCAGGACCTTCGACCTTCAGGCAGACGTTGGTGGCAACAGCCCAAGACCCAAGTCCAGCATGCGGCGTCCTTCTCGTGACTTGCGCCTCTTCCTTTTGAAGCTGCTAGCTGCTGCCAGCTGTCAGAGAGGATTCCCACATGCTGTCGGGCGAGGCTTTCCGGCCAAATGGTGCGTGCGTGTACAGGTAGCCTATCGGATCGATAGTCAGGCAGATACACAAATAGTTAGCAGGCAAGGCGCCAGAAATCCGATGCACACTTCAGCCACAGCAGGCACTGCTTGTGCACACACGCACAACACCCAGCACGCTATGTCAGATAAAGAATTGCCAGGAACATTAGCTGCCACTAGCAAGGCATGCTGGGCACGCTTCGCCGCCATGGCCTTGCAAAGGTAGCTGAAGGATGTGGGGGCCAGGCAAGCTTGGATAACCATGCTGCGTCTTCTCAAGAAGTTGAAACGGTGCAAAAGGACTGGGGTATGTCATGGTGCTATTTCCAATAGCCAACATCCTCCAAGTACCCTCTTCTGCTGAAGTGGCATGCCTTGTGCATTGCCATTCTGCCGCACATTGGCAGGCTCTGAGCTGGCACCTTTGCTTCGTTTCCTTTAGATTCGGATCCGCTTGGGCTGGGAGCTGTGCCAGGGTGCACTGGTGGTCCCGGGGCCGCTGTCGCCCACCACGAAATTCTGGTTACACTATCTGGTCTAGAACTTGCAGAATGATGTCCCTGGAAGACACGATGCCCACGATGCGGGCGATCTCGTCCTTGGCTGTCCGTGAACCCCAAAAGCTTCGGCTCGGGCCATGCGCATGAGAGTCATTACCGGGAGGCAGTCAATTGCCGTGACGAACGGAAACACTACAATACTACAAGGCCAAGGCAGAGCTCCAATCGAAGCCGAGCATCCGAGGCCAGAAAAAGCCGCGAAAGCTTCGAGGCGAGAAGCCGCAAGGCGAGGGTGTGAAGCCTGGGCGAGATCTTGTGCTTTAACTGAACAACTTCCTTCATATGTATGACCGGCGCAAGCTTCCAGGCAAAACTACAAGAGTGGCAACCTGTACACTATGCCACATCCAGGCGCTGCACAGCAACTGTCTGCAACCGAATTCTTCCAAGATGCGATGCACCTTCATGAACTGAGACAACCTCAGCGGTGCTGCTGTGTCGCTTGAAACCAATTCTAGTTTATCTGGTCTGACGATGATCTGATCAGCCGCAGCCTAAGCCCCGCCTCAATAACTTGACCAGCAAAGGTGACACACAGCCTGCTACTCGCAGGCCCGACCTTTCAGCGATCGATCGTCTTTGACTCGCTGAATTGGGCTCCGAGTGACATTAAAACGGTGCAGCCGCTGCAGCCGTAGGATTTGATCCAGGCTCTGGGCCTCCGCCTCAGCGATGTGCAGGCGGGGCAGCCACTGAACCGAAGGGGCTCACTACACCCTAAACCACTGCAAGCGAATCCCGGCAGTGCCTCCGTACGCCACGAGAGGAAGTCACAAACGGACCTGGGCCGGCTTTTCTGTTGGCTGCTGGCAGGTGTTCCTAAGGAATGGCGTGCTCCGTAGGTTCAAAAGCATGCCGCCGGAGGGAACCCTGGGGTTCCAACTTGCCTTCAACAACTGGCGGACAACGGCGTTCGACTTTCGACACGTCTGTAACACAACTTTAACATCTCGTGCCCAAGCTTCACTAACATGGTCCTGCGGTAAGCTTCCGACATGCCCAGAGCATCAAACCTGCCGGAGCCTCGGTCACACTGGAAGCTCACGTTCTCTTGTCGCAGTCTCGGTAGGCTAAACCCCAGACACTGAGCGGTGCCAAGATCTCAGGTTCTGCAAAGATTTCCAGGATGTCTCAGGCTCAGGTGCAGACGAATGATCCACTTCCTTAGCTGCTCACACGCACAGAAGCTAATTCAGGCTTGTGTTTGCGGTAGACAGAGGATATCAGAATTGTGGCCGAGGTGTTTTAGCTGTTGGTTCTCTGACTCAGGCCTTGTTCCATCGTTATGCTTCGGGATCCGCAGATTCTACAATCAGCTGCCTAAACACCTATGCGAAACGTTCGGCAAACAAAGAGTTGCACAGGTAATGCCACCCACATTTTGCCCAGGAGCAAGTCGGCAACGGAAACAACCTCCAGCAACTAATTCATCTAATTCAAGGGCATGCAGTTGCATGCTGCAGTCACCGCAAAGGACCCCCGCCCACACTAAGCAAGAACAAACCTTGCAAGTAAGTTCGCACAAGCTGCGTTGCTGGCCACAACCCCACCCAGATCTCCAGACAGCTCTCGTGAGGTCGTCGGGCAAATGGAAAGGCCTGGCAGGAATTGCAGTCAGCGGTGTCAAACAAACAACAGTCACACAGGCGTCGCGGGCCCACGAATTAAGCTGCATCTAACGTCCATTTCTACCGCATGTTGGACAGGGAGGCTTCGCAAGGTGCACGACGCGACCGACGCCCAGTAACTCGCTGCGGGGCCTGCCGCCTTCATGTTCTGCAAGGCGTGCAGCAAAGGCTCATCTTGTTGAACAGACACCTGCACCAAAGCTTCGTTCGAAGTACCAGGTAATAGGTAAATCATGGTAAATCACTGATATCGGTTCTCTCCATGCCACTGTGCAGGGAGCCTGCAGGATGGTGCTTCGACGATCGAAGACCTGCGGGGCTTCTTCCGGAATTTGGAGTTTAGTCAAGCAGGAAGCAAAGGCTGGGCCATGTCATGGCAGTGAAGGCAGTCTCATCGAGTTCTCCGTGTTGACATGCTGCGCAAGGGTCGCTCGCGCGAGAGCTGCAGGCCTTTGCGGATAAGGATTTGAGAACGGCCGAAGGCGCCGTGTAGCGCAAAGCCAAGTGGAGAAAATCTGGTGCAGAGAATACTCCAACCTTGGGATGCTGCAGCTGGTTCGGGACATGAGGCTGCACACTTCCTGTCACTCTTGGATCCTTCTCGGCAGTGGCAGTGCGGCTGCCGAGCATCTTGGCAACTGAGGCATCGACAATGTTGCCTGTGAAGCTGACTACATTTCGCTCGAAACTGCGCGCTTTGTGATGACGGTATTCTGGTACAGCACGGCTACCACTGCGGAACATGTCCATCATAAACGATTGTGCATGTTGAGAAAACTTGCTTGCCCGAGCCTTCTGCATCCATCAGAGGCACTCGCCGTGCTTTGCCCTGTCTGGAGCTGTCGGCGCTACTTGGGCTTGGAAGCTTCCGGCCTGACAGATGACAGAGTTGAAACACAACTACAACTGCAGGTGCAGTGCAGGGTGGTTCGATATCCAAGATACGGCTTCCAGAAGCTTTGCTGAAGTGGCCTGCCATTATCTTCAGCACTTCGCGCGCTGGTGTGTCAACCGAAGCTGGCACAAATGCACCTTCGCAATTCAGGCGGCTAAGCAATGTTCTTACTTCCGATTGTGCGCTGCCAAAGCATCAACCCGGTCATAACAAATCCCAGTGGCAAATTCTCGAGCAGTTGGCCAAAGTCCCGATGCTCGCCTGCCAGGCAAAAGCTACCACTTGTCTTGTGTCTCAATCAACCTCTATACCAGTCAAAAAGCCAAATGCCGAGAAGACTGCAACGTCGTTCTGTTGCTGATCGCGCCCATGCACCCAGTCTTAGCAAAAACTCAACGTGGACCTGCTGCCGTTTATGGGTGATGGGCTGAGTGGCCATGAGAGGCAGGTGTCGCTCCACCTCTGGAAAGCACAAACAAACCGTCAGCCCGTCGCCACCGGATCACCATTGTCATCACAACCACAAGTACGAGCAGCAACATTACCAGCATCCCAGTCGCCAGCAGGCGACCGAGAGACCTCCAGTACAGCAGACCGGATGATGACTGTTAGTGACATGTTGTTGAGGTCCCGATGCTTGTAACCTGGTATTGATGCTATCCTGGACCGTACAAGTACACCTTTGAAGGGTGTCTAGGAGAAACATCAGTGACTGCAAGTCGTACATCCGAGGCCTCGCAAAGGAGCTCCAGGGTCCTGGCAGCCTGGTCTGCCGTGTGCGCGGTCTGGCGACAGGAGCACTCAGAGCGAGTTCTCGGGATAGTTCGGGGATGCATTCTCATGCAACTGCCACCTTGCACGCTGTCCCTGTGTATTTTGAAAAGCTTGGAGTCGGAACTTTGCAGAAGCACCCAGTCATGGAACAAAACACACCCCAATCAGCCGGAAACGAAACGATCCATAAGCCTTGACCCGGTTCAATGCAAGCCTCAAGCAACTTATGGTTGATGTCGAAGTAATCGAAGAACCTGAACTGTCCCAGCAGGCGCATCATACTGCGTGACCCACTGAAGGTTTGGACACGCTTGCTCGAAACTTAGCTGTTCAAGGCGCTTGTGTGAGCCATCCTCGTACTTCACCAGGCACCACCTCAAGCCAAGCTGGGACTCGCTTGCGAGAGCGAGGTCTGCAGGAGGACACGATTCTTTGAAGCTCTCCCTTGAATCTCTCTCTGGGATGTGGCTTTTCAGCAGAAGCAAGCGAGTAAGTAGCTGGCGGCCGAGACCCGAGCTCGGCAAAAAGGCCGCGGTTTGGGTTTGTGACATTTAGTAGCGCTCGGAAGCGCTGGGCAAGACACCTCTTAGCCGACTTCCCCCGGAACGACGAACGGCCGGGACCGGGAGGCTTGCAACACTCTTGCAACATCACCTCTTTCGCTTTGACATGTGGTTGGGTGGGTGGGTAGGTGGGGGGGTGCGTGCATGCGTGCGTGACCCTGTTCCGAAGGGCTAGAGTAACAGTCAATTGAGCGAACAAGCCCGGGAGTGGAGCATGACTGTGAAACTCTGCACATCGTCGTTCTCTTGTTCGTGCGAGCAATGATTGGAGCACCACCACTGAGGTACCAAGCCTCATGTGATTGCGAGCCATTTCCAGCACGGCATCTCTCACCTGACACAAATTCGAAACATTCGGCCGTCGCAGTACCACGCCACAGTTGTTCCCGCCTTTGTGTGCTCGTTGAAAATCTGGGTTGCCCAGAAATTGGTGCTGGTTCTCTTCCTGGGTCAAACTTCAAGCATCTGTCGTCTCTCTTATTGATGGCTGGATCTTACTAAGGCTGCATTCCCCGCCGAGATGCAGCCGCACGATGTACTCCGAGATGGGCTTCGAGGGAATCCACTGTTGCTTCCTCGACTCTCGCAGGAGAATCGTCTTTGCAGCCACAGCGTGCTTCCAAAGTAGAGGTTGGCACATCTCAATATCTACCAGCTAAAACCATTCCTTCTCGGTGTTTCAATGCTTGAGCATCTCTCCTGCATCACGGCTACAACACAACAAGTACAAGGACTATCCTAGCGAGCTGCAGTGCTTTGTCTGCTGCACATTTCTCAGGCAGGGGACGGGTTCAAGGGAGAAAGGTCTTCAGGCTGGACTTTCTCCCCCGCATCTTCGAAGACATCCTTCCCAGGGAGCTGCAGTGAGCTGCATGAGTGCCTTCTTCTTACAAGAACTGAAGAGGAGGTCGCCCTTTTCCGTCCTCGATCGGAGGAAGGAGCACTGCCAAAAACTCGCAGTAGCTCAGAGAATCCTGGCAGAGACGCACCTGCCTTCTTAGCAGATCTCCTCGGCTCAGCTTGGGCGCGCCTGCTCTCCGCACACCGCGCGCCAGACTCTCCGAATGGAATCATGTTGGCAGGCCGCCGCTGATACCATGAACCGGTCATCTTCACCGCTCCTGGAGAAGAAGCAACACTTTACTGAACCCGCACTACAGAACCACCATGAACTTTCAGGAGGGAGCTGAAGATTTCTTCCAGGCGCTACCACATGCTAATCATGATATACTGATTTGCAGCCGACGTGTTGCAGACTTCGGCCAGCTGGGATCCGGACACCTGCTTTAACGAGCTAGCCCAGTAGGATCTCCTCAGCTGTGAACTTCTCAGGAGGAGGGTTTTGAACTTTTCCAGAGCGACGTGACTGGCAGTAGCCATCAAAAGGCAGTGCAACGTTAAGACCTCGACGTGCTTTCGCTAATGCACTGTAGTGTGGAAAATGCCATCTGCAGGTTCGGACTCTAAAACCTGCCGATGTCTTCGACGAATCGAATGGGGATCCTCTGCGCATAGGCCCAGGGTAGGAATTCCATTGGGGCAGTGCGTTCCGGTGCGAAGCTGAAGATTATTCTGTTGCTGCTGGTGTAAGATTATGCACGAAAAGAATGGACGAGACGAGACATGGTCATCGCATGCTGTCTTGCAATGGCCTGGCCACGCTACGAGGGATGAGGCCCTGGCGTGGGAGAGTCTTGTGACTTCCTCTCGATGACCTCGAGAAACTGGTCGAACTTGACTGTTCCGCTCAGGCCGTGGGCATCGAACATCTTGAACCTCAGCCAGCATGCGAGTACTCAACACCAGAATCCAATCGCCCGCAACACAAGCTCCGGCAAAAGCATAATTAGGAAAGTGGTGCACTGTCGGACCATGCTGAGGTGATCACGTGTCCCTCATGGCCATGAAGTCCTGCCAGCATTTCAGGCCTTCTCCCATTAAGGTTGCTGGAAAGTGTCGAACCCAAATTTGCTAACAAGCAGTCAGTCTCTACATTGAGATGCAGCTCTTGTTTTGGCGAGTTTACTGCACTTGTTGTTCTCTGTCCTCCCAAGGCAGATATGTCGGTGACCGGGCTACTGCCAGCAACCAGGCTCGGGCGGCGCGCGAGGCAACGGAGTGAGCGTGAAACCTTGGGAACTGCCCCGGCATCTCAGTGCCACTACAACTAAGAAGCACTGCCAGTAGGTACTGGTATTCAGACTGCTACAACTACTACGGCTACGCCTACGGCTACAGCTACTGCTGCTGCTACTGTTGCTGCTACTCCTACGACTACTTTTATCTCCTCCTACCACTGCCTAAACTGCCACTGCTGCTACTACTCCTACTACAACTTCGGCCCGCGACCATTGCCACTAGTAGTAGTAGAAGTAGCAGTAGCAGTAGCAGTAGCAGTAGCAGTAGTAGTAGTAGTAGTAGTAGCAGTAGTAGTAGTAGTAGTAGTAGTAGTAGAGTAGTAGTAGTAGTAGTAGTAGTAGTAGTAGTAGTAGTAGTAGTCGTAGTAGTAGTCGTAGTAGTAGTCGTAGTAGTAGTAGTAGTAGTAGTAGTGGTAGTAGTAGCAGTAGATTTTGGTCACCCACATGGCGCGCCAATGACAGCTCCACGAAAACTACTCTGTTAACTAGTCACGACAAAGCCTCCACGAAGAAGAACGCAGAAAAGACCCGCAGCAGCAGCAGTAGTAGTAGTAGTAGTAGCAGTAGCCGTAGTAATGGTACTAGTACTAGTACTAGTACGAGTACTAGCGCTAGTGCGAGTACTAGTACCAGTACTAGTAGTAGTAGTAGTAGTAGTAGAAGAAGTAGTAGCAGTAGTAGTAGTAGTCGTAGTCGTAGGAGTAGCAGAAGAAGTGGTAGTGGTAGTGGTGGTAGTAGTAGTAGTAGTACGTAGTGGCAGTAGTAGATTTAGTAGTAGTAGTAGAAGAAGAAGAAGTAGTAGTAGTAGTAATAGTAATAGTAGTAGTAATAGTGGTAGTGGTAGTGGTAGCAGTAGTAGCAGTAGTAGCAGTAGTAGCAGTAGTAGCAGTAGTAGCAGTAGTAGTAGTGGCAGTAGCAGTAGTAGTAGAAGAAGTAGTGGCAGTAGTAGTAGTAGTAGCAGTAGTAGTTGTAGTAGTAGACTACTGCTACTACTACTACTACTCCTACTGCTCCTACTACTACTCCTACTCCTACTCCTACTACTGCTACTAACACTACTACTAGTACCACTACTACTACTACAACTACTACTACTACTACTCCTACTACTGCTACTACTGCTACTACTGCTACTACTGCTACTACTGCTACTACTGCTACTACTACTACTGCTACTGCTACTGCTACTGCTACTGCTACTGCTACTACTGCTACTGCTACTGCTACTACTACTACTACTACTACTACTACTACTACTACTACTGCTACCACAAATACTACTGTCTTCGAACTGCTCTTAGTTGGTGCAGATTTCCAGCACATACAAGCCACTGGACTTTGTTTGAAGTAACCAGGGCTAAAAAAAGCATGGATCTTTATGTCATCATGGTCGTTTACGGAGCAGGTTCAACCAAACGTATCCAAGTATGGTACTCGAGGACTCATGCAATGGCGCTTGACTTAGCATTTGATCCCTACGACCTGCAAAGGTTGACAAAAGTTGCCCGTTCGACAAATTTCGAGGTGCACCTGTGAGATGGCACCAGGCAACCTGTGAACATGCATCCCTCTCAGTGGCCGGTCAAGTGTGGTGGACGAGCAGAGGCGGAGCCGATGCAGAGCAAGCCGGTTACCAACTAAACATATTGCACTCGTGCACTGAACGATTGCCAAAAGGGACCCGCCTGCTTCCCGAAAGAAGTTGTAACCAGTTGTAGCATCAAAGTGTTTAAGTTCCAGCCCCTTGCAGCGAATAAAGCCAACGTTTTGCTCACTGCTGGCAGGAAGCCTATCTAGAATTGTCCGCACAGGCATAGCCTGCGGTGGGTCTTTCAACCTCCGTCATGCAATTTGCAGCATTCGTTGTTTGACCGCCGAGAGTGACAAGCAGAACCTGTAGGCCCTCCAACATGCTAACACGAAGGGGCAATCCAATGACAAATCCAACCGTGTGTGGCACTTCTAGTGTATGAGCAAGCGCCGCGGGCCTGTCCCTCGCCTGGGCGAGGTATGGATCTTCCAAGCATTCGGCTGCCGAAGGCCTTGCAGAAGTTGTTCCGTGAACCAGGCTGTGCTACCATGAACATCGCTTTGAACTCAGATCCGCATCTGTGACCTTTGTCTGCTGCACAACTCCCCTCATGCCTTGTCACGGGCTCCCGTGTAAGCATTCGCCGCAGCAGGGTCGCAACATCTCCGGGCAGTGGATCCAAGATCTTTGCCACAGACTCCTAGCGTGACGATGGATCCGCGGGTGCCCCCCCAATGCAGCCTTGCAGCCCGCAACTCGATTCATTACAGTATCAGAGGCACATCAAACCCGCATAATTGCTTGTAGCAATTGCAACAGAGAGCTCGCAGCATTGAGATGCTTTGTGATTCAGACTCTCGTTCATGCCAGGACAATGACTCGGCATGTGTGGTTTTATGAGAGACTGAAGTGCCCGGCAACCGCACTGAAGTTGGCAAATGATAAAGTGCAAACGGCGGAGCCAAACCTCTGTCACTTCCTTGATCTCTCTGAGCACAACTTCTTCCTCGGCACGACGGGTCGGAGAACGATCTGACAATCCCCGGTTATGCCAGCAGAAACCCCGAAACAGCGGAAAGACCATACTTGAAGCTTGCCCTTGGGGACCAGCAGGCCAGTGGTTCGCTATGCTTGGGAAATACCGGTCGCAACTAGTTGCCATCTGCGTCCATCCAGTATTTACACGGCTTTTCGCCAACGGCCAGCAAAAGACCACTATGAGACCACACGTCTAGAGAACACCATCAGGTCATCAGAACACCGCCCACGACGAGCACTGCGGCCAGGACGACCGCGACGACGAGGACGACAACCACGAGACCACCAAGAGACCTCCAGGAGACACGACGAAACCATTAGCAAAAGACCAGGACCGCATCTTGGCAACGGGGAATTCTTCTACAGCGGCAACGATTCACCCCTTCTGGAGACTGGTTTCAGCATGGCTCAGCCGGTTCGGAGCACGGCTTTGCCTGTGCACTTCACTCCTAAAGGTCCGAAGCTCTTCCGAATTCTGCGCTCTCGGGACTGTCAGCGAAGTGTTGCGAAGAAGAAACAGTGCAACGCTGTCCAAGCATCCGTGTACCCATCGCATTGCCCGGCATCTCGGTGGAATGCAGGTTCACCCGTCAGCAGCTCCAGGAAGACGACACCCAAGGACCATATGTCGCACTTGTCCTTGGCGAAGCACCGACAAGCTTCGCTTGTTTGTTCGCTATCAAACGCGCCCAGGCACTTGACCAATTAACGGCTGTGCGGTGGATCACATGGAAACGAGCGTCAGGATCTCCATCGCTAGGCATAAGGTCAGAGCTCCCAGACCGATAAAAGACCCAGCAACTCTCTTAACTTAACTCTCTAGCAGAGCCACCAGCGCTTCCGGCTGTTGTCGGAGCATTGGCTCAACAAGACAGGTGTCCCAACAAAACCGTCCATCAGTGGTTGCGGTCATTTTGAGGTTCGGCTTGAGTTACGCCGGGAGTCCGAGAGGGAGGTGCAAACATGACGCAGTTTAACAAGGCCGAGTCTCAGTGTAGGCATTGTCGCTGCTCAGCCCCGCAAGAACAACTTCCTCGTTCACAGGGAAGATATGACAGCACTTTAGCAGGTTGGGGACTTGAAGTAGACGAAGATCAGCCCTGCTGAATTCTACTTCGCAGGTCGCAGAACGTACTTTGATGCGGCGAGGCAACTACCGTGGCTACAGTGCCTAAGCTGCCCAAGTGTCGGGGGCGAGGTAGCCCAGCGTTCCCATACAGCCCTGGAGGGAGCCTGGCTGAAAATGTCATGGGAATTCAATGGAGGGTCTGAGATGCGCTAATCACTTTATGATCGAACTTCAATCCCTGCAAGCATGTGAGGCAGCATGGTTGTCGCAGAGCAGAAACCAGTCGCAGCAGCTCATGCTGCTTGCTTCTCCAAGCCATATACGGGCGTGCTACCGCTGCAGCAACGCCGCGGCCTTCATTTCCCAGGAAGCCCTTAACGCTGAAGCCAAAGTCGATGAGCTTGATCGTCTTACCATCAGCCTGTTTCAGTCTTTATGCCTTCGCTTCCACAAGCTGCAGCTCGTGCCTCGTAGACCCAATTACGTGGCTTTATGTCTCGGTGCACGATCCCAGCGCGGTGGATGTAGTTGATGGCCATTAGCATCGGCACCTCAGCCAACCCCAGACTAAATATGCCAAGCTTCGTGTCGCACGCTGGGCTGCAGCCCAAGTAGCTGCAATCTCTTGAAACCTGGGTTTCTCAACAAATGCTGAACTGCTGTGGACGTCGCTGTCAGCGATGCAGACAAAGCGCTGGGGCTCGCTGAAAGCTCCCTGGGTTCGGATGGCATTCTCCAAGGTGCCTGTGCAAATTCAATTCACGCTGCCTCCTTCCTCACTGCCAACACCAGCAGGAGTATGGCCTCAAAACTGCATTCTAGCTTGTAACTCCCATACAGCGATGGGCCGCAGCGTATCGCTCGCTGCTCGGTTCACACCCGGCTCTGTGTGTACTCGGCCACTGCGATAGTAAGAAGGAAGACAAGCAAGTGAGCACAAGATGCAAGGCACGGAAGAAACGACGAGTGCAGACGATGACCCGGCTGAAAAGAAGCAGTGCTATCAATCCAACCTGCAAGAGTCGAGTTGATACTCTGACAACCTGCTCTGCCAACTTTGACAGCACCAAGTTTTAACCCTTCTCAACACCAGGGATGGTGTTGAAGACTCAGCATTCAAGTGAAACTAGATCTCGAGGGTTGGTCTTAAGAACCCGAACCGGTACCGGACTTCATGCTGCTGTAGCAATGACTAACTCGCAGACCCAATCTGAAACTTTTGAAGAACGTGTGCACTCTCGTCAGAACGCAAAGGGGCGAGCACAAGGGGCACAAGGGACATCAGCATCAAACGCCTCACGATCTATGTCCAAGCACATTACAGACAACCCCAAATCCTTGCAAACCTGTCTCATCATGTCGTGTGTCTGTCGGCATACTTCACGTTACGATGCCTCCAGAGCAGAACTGCATCACCAAGCTGACCTTCAGAAGCAGCAAAATTTTCTCTGCAGCCTATCAACCGGACTGACTATACCTCGTTTTCTGAACACGGTACCGTAAAGCTAGCAAAAACTTAGGCATACGTGCTGCAGCTGTGAACCTTCACTTCACATCATATACACCTACATTTAGCGGTTTAGCATATTATGGTCGTTTCACATTTGGGCGGTCCTATCGCTTTTCGAAGGTTTTTGCGAAATCCGGCATTCCGGTGTCGCCCCAATCTTGTCTTGGCTACCTTTGCGGAAGATTGGGCGGATGCTCATAGTCATATGGTGATAGCTTGTCGCTGAGTGCCAGAAGATTTTGGCACCTGGTGTATGAGTGTTGAGAAGCTGTGTTTTAAACGGAATGTCCATCACGAACGACAAGGCCTGCTCCTCATCTTCGTAGACATCAAAGAGCCGTGCAATGTTGGGATGTTCAAGAGAAAGGTATATCACCGCTTCCTTAGCAATTTGTGTCTGATGATCTGTGGCTTTGTCCAGGCAGTGCACTCAAGCAGTGAGCTACTGATACGGTATATGACACGGTCCCGTGACAAGCTTGTGAAACCTACGAGTTCAACGGCTTCGTGATCTCCGATAAATGAAGTGAAGCGGCATTCTTCAGCTTGTCCAACTTTTCCGGGCTCATCCTTCAGCAAGGAACTCTCTCGGGCTGCACTGCATTTGTGACAAGAACCTTTTCACCAAAGATCTCATTCGTCTCCACTGCACAGCGAAAGTGCCAGCATGTCACCCGGAACTTATGCTTTTCTCTTCTACCTGTTGCGAAGCCAGGTGGCCGCGAAAGGTCGAACATCTTGACGCACCGCTCGTAGGTCTCTTTGTTCTGCCGGACAGCGGCTCGTTCTTTTCTCCTGCCGAATCTATGCGGTTCTCGCAGAGGTGTGCTGAGGCGCCACGATGACATGTTGCCTGCAAGACTGAGTTCACTTCTCAGTTGCTTTGCATCGGGGCGTCAGTCCGGCACAGGAAGACATCGCCGCTAAAGCCGCTGCCGATAACAGTCGGCCTCGCACTCGGCTTTAAGAACCCTCTGCATATCTGCAAGACCATCAGCTACAGCCACGGATTTGCTCTACTGCAATCTTTCTTTGCCCGACTCATTGCTACCACTGCCAAGGGGCGGATGGGATGTGTACCTCATGAAGGACAGGAAAGCCAGACAACTCTCAACCGCAGGAAACCGCGCAAGTTGGGCAACAGGGTCCAGGGCTTCGGTCTGAACTGCCGGGAAACTCATAGTCTTCCAGGAACTTCTTGCCGCGATGGTAGAGGCAAGCTAGGAGCTCCATTTTCAAGGCCTCAACAGTGACCAGCGTGTCCACATTTCTGCGAAGGCTTAACAGGTCATGCTTGAGTCTTGCTTCGGCTCTGCATACTTGGTTTCAGCAGCAGCCCGGCAATGGCAGGAGACTCGACGTACCATCTGCGTTCGTCCATGCTGTGTCGGCATGTCATGCTGCAGAACAGATGAGTGCGTTCACACATGGTTCGTTGTGGTTCCGACACCTCGACGAGTTTGGCCATATATGTCCTCGATAGGGCCATGAACATGTCCATTTGGCCGAGAGGCACGCTGATTGAGTTCATTGTGCACTTCCTGCAGGCCAGGCCACAGGGCTCCACTACTGCCGCTCATGAATTGGTGGCCCTGGTCACATCTCGTGGGTCCTCTGAAATCAAGGACAGCTTTCTAGGCCGCATCGTCTGCAAGGATGTTCGAACGGAGCTGGCAGGCAGGGGAAGCAATTATTGCGCACTCCAGTTCCAGGGCAAGCAGACCCCCATCGCTCTAACCTCTACTGTATCGACTCTACCAGATACTCCACCAATTCCAGAAAGCAAGCAGAAGAGTCTGCCAGGAACAACAGCCAGCGGGCTCAGAACTACACCTTCATCTTGAACCTCTGCTGCTATCACCGGCAGCTCGGGCAGGCATGTATTCCAAAAATCCCTTGCTGAGGTGACGCCTTGCAGTGTTCTCCTGATCCGGTTTGATGTCGTACTGGACCGTCATTCGCTTCCTGCTCTTAGCTACGTTCACATGAGATGCGTCTGAGGCATGTCAGCCTGCCGAAACACACCGACCACCAGACGAGAAGCTGACTTTCCAGGGAATGAGCCGAGCAACTGATGGATGATACTGTCGAGCCGTGTGCCGCTGCTCGGCTTGACTAGTGACCTCGCACAGGAGCGGCATGTGTGCCTCGCCTCGAACTTAAGGCCTCCTTGATTTGCAATGTTCTCGTTTCGAGCTCTACATGGCTGGAGGCTATTCTGAGACCATCTGCCAAGTCTAGCCGTAGCCCGTCCAGCCGCCCTCACGGAAGCTCCCGAGCCTTGGCATCCGCCCCACCTGTCCAGTCCACTTCTGCGCGAACTCGACGTCGCCCAAACGATTGTAGCGAAGTGCCAGGCGAACCAGCTGAGAAGAGCAACAGAGTCTGTCAGAGAGTCCCAGAGTCATGAGAGGGGCTCGTAGCAAGGCGGATGCCCGCGGGAAGCATGATCACTTACATGCTCTTCGCATCTCATCGGGCGAAAGTGTCATCCCTACGCATCGGTGATATACCAGATATACTTCCCAGTAGTCTTCACATGAACATGGCGAGGGCACTGACGTACTTGACTGTCCAGGCATGACATGCTGTGCGGGCCTGGAGTCGAAAGCCATGATTAGAGAGAATCGTCCCTCGCCGACATTGTATAGCTTCGACCTTACGGTGGGAGAAGCCGGCCGGGTGCTTCAAGACACCGCGACGTATTCTGTGCCCAGACACGGCATCCATAAGGGTCATACCCTGCGCAGGCTTCGATTGGACGGACAGCTTGATATTGCAAGCAGGGTGCTGCAAGTCCATCTGGCATGCACAATCCACATTCGGCCTCATGCACCATCAGCCAGCATACGCACATGCATGCCTCAGTTTCGACAGTGCTCGGAACAATCTTCGGTTGACTCATTCCATGTCCATGCGATGCCTGGGGAAAAAACATGAGGATTCCTGCTATGGTTGCCATGCGCTCTCCTGTGCAGGGTGAGCCGAGCAGCGGATCGATTGTGACCTGCTTTGCAGTTGACCAGTACTCGCTGACCCGAAGCTTTGCACCGTCGAAGGAAACCTTCACACTGCGGCCAACCTTAGAATGGAAGCGAAATTAGACAAGCCGACAAGGTCACAAGCTTGCGCATGTGCAAGACAACTCCTTGCTCCACCGCAATTTATACATTGCTGACTCACGTGTATAGGTTCAGATGGGCGGCATTTTTCGACAATATCGAAGAATAATCGATCCTGCTTCAAGGGGGTGTGATTCGGCTTTCACAATCACAAGGCTGGCAGGTCTTGGGGCTAGGTTTGCCTCCGAGTCAACCTCAAGAAACTCGACGTCGTGGGAGGAGTAGAGCGACGTGAAATCTGAGACCTCCCATGCGAATGCAAGGCCGACGGAGAGACTCCCAGAGCAAAAGCTGCGCCGGTCGCCTCGGGAAGCCGTGAGCTCAGCTCCCACCAGTTGATCAGGTTCAACACCTTGGAGAACGCGGGAACCAAGCCCAACATTTCCCGACCCTAGCTAGAACTCCTCGCGAACCAGATACCGCTCGGATGTTCTGGCGTTGCAGAAGATCGAAGTCGGTCGCCTCCGCTCACTGTGAGGGGTACTGTTGTGAACGCATACCTGGTCTCTTTTGTGGGTTTCGGCTCCAGAGCAGCCTGAAGCCGGCTTGATGGGCAGCTCTGGCCTCCTTCAAGTCCCCGAGGAACATCCAATCTAAAATCCTGAGCGCATGTTGGTGCTTTCAGGCATCCGGCTTCCGCTCTCTTCGGGTTTGGCTGGCGTAAGGGCCTGCAGGTTTCACGCTTGCAGGAGCGAAATGTAGCGACACGGAGCCCGCGCACTGTGAAGTAGACTTGCCAGGCAACTGCGCAGGTTGCTCACCAGGCTTCCAATATTTCCATGAAACCTTCGTGGGTGTGGTGCAGACCCAAGATGAATTGCAAAATGTTGGCAATCCTGGCGGCTAATTTCTGCATGAGACAAACTTGACGTATTGCACAGCTGGCCCTTTGCACGGAAAAGTGAAATATGCAGTACTCACACAATGCCACAACTTATAAGAACAGCGGTTCAGTGCTGACGGCACTCGAAATCTGAGTCCGAAATCCTAAGAGCTCCTAAACTTCAAAGCCAAGGGAAGCAGCTGTATCCAGGACAGTCGCTAGCCGATCGAGGCCGCCTTGCTCCTGGTATGGTCAGGGTTGCTCTATTTTGGCATATTCTAGTGTGTTCCCGTATCCTATAACATTCAGGAACCTTTTTCCCTCCTACTTCGAAAGGACGAGCCGGCATGGCGAGGTTAGACCATAACTAAATAAGAGTATCTTGGCTTGAGCTGTCACGTAGTAGCCGACCGTGCAGAGCCAAATCGATCATGCTAAGTGACTAGGTCGGCTCCCTCCTGTGTCAAGGAAGGAATCACGGCCCCACGTTTTTCCAGGCCTGGTCTGCTGGAGCGAGCAACGCCTCGTCCTCCCGGCGAAGGCAAAGGCGGCAAAGGATCCTCGAACCGAGACTTGTGCGGCTCAAACCCAGCACATCTATCAGCCAACCATGCTGCTCGTACGGTTGTTGCGTTTGCAATCCGCGCGGCGCTTTCAAGAAGAGCGAGTGCAACGGCAGCCGCCGCGGCAGCAGCAGAAGTAATCACAGCAGCAGCAGCAGCAGGCAGGAGCAAGAGCAGGAGCAGGATGAGGAGCACGAGCAGTAGCAGTAGCAGGAGCAGTAGTCGCGGTGGTAGTAGCAGTAACACTAGCAGTAACACTAGCAGTAACAGTAGCAGTAGCAGCAGAAGTAGCAGTAGAAGCAGCAGCAGTAGCAGCAGTCGCAGTAGTTGCAGCAGTAGTAGTAGTTGTTGTTGTCGTAGTAGCAGCACGAGCTGGGTAGCTCATAAGTCATCATATCGGTGACGAGGCAGTGGTGGAGTTGCTCGTGGTGGTGGTGGTGGCGGTGGTCGCAGTAACGAGCGCAGCAGCAAGAGGGGTGTAGTAGCAGGTCTGGTTTTTGGGCTACCGTGACGACGGCTGCTAATCTTACTACGACGACTGCTACGAGCTTCTACGACGACGACAAACACAGCATCTCCTACTAGTGCTCCACGACTGTTTGCGGCGATGCTACTTAGAGGCTCATGGGACTTGTTTCAGCCGTAAGTAGGTTATACATGCAGTACTAAATCCCCTAAGTGGGGCTATCCTCACGACCTACTTATATATAACCTTACTTACTACGTCCCATGAGCCATTAAGTACTGCCACTCCTGCAACAACAGCGCAACACCACCCCCACCGCCGCCGCCGCCGCCACCAGCGCCACCACCATCACCACCACAATCAGCGGCAGGAACAGGAACGGCTGAACAGCAACAACAGCATCTACGGCAACAACAGCAGCAAAACTACAGCAACGACAAGAAGCGGTCTATGGTCGATCGACTTGGAAAGTACTTGTCGCCGTGCTGTTTCCTCATGTTAAGCAACCAAGATCTTTGAACAATCATGATGTGAGCTGCTCTACCTCATCGAGCTTTGGCCTCCTCCCTCCTTCTCGGCCTCAGCTGAGGTCCAGGCTCAGCCCTGGCACCCTGCGCATACTCCTGGACTTTGGCCTCATGGCAGACAAAAGGAAGAGCGGAACCGAGAACACTGACTTGCTCTTCGGGAGTTCACACAAAGCTGTGCACTCCTACACCACCTGAACTTTCCCCCTGTCTTAAAGGTCTAAGATGGTTCAAGGTTCGAGCTCATAGTCCGAAGAGTGCTTGCGACGGAGAGCCCCCCGGGCCTGGCAGCCCTGGCAGATTTCAACCTGACACAAGATACCACAAGCTCTGGTCGTCTGGCCCCTATCGCCAGGGTCCCGATGCAAAGCCCCCCCGAATGGCCGTGATATCGTGGACGTAGGTCGCTGTCGCCCTAAATCGTAGGTTCGTGGCGTCAGAGATCCTTGCCTTTGGGCTCTTTCCACTCGGTGAAGAGCTCGGCACAGAAGTCCCATTGGGCGAGGGGGCGCCTGGCAATGATTCAGCTTCGACTCCATCCCTGACGGGCCTCTCTCTCCCCGCTCCGTGTGTGCGCGGTGCATGCGGAGGAGTCAACGAGGAAGTGAGAGTAGCCTTTGGCTGCGTACAGAACTGCGTAAGGCAAGGCAGGCTACATGTCGAGGCAGGCCCACATCTGTTTGTTAAATCAGTTAAACCTAATGTTGTCTATTCCCAAAAGCCCGGGTGGGCAGGCTTAGTGCATACCCTGAATCCTTCCCGTCATGTTTTTCACTATTCTTGCCTTCTTGGGGCAAGGGATCCGGCGGCGAGAGTGCACGGACCCAGGCAGTGCACGGGCCCAAGCCAGCATCCTTGGCAGCCTGGGACAAAAAGCTCGCCACTCGCCACAAGTGGAGTGCCGGGAAGATCTTAGGCTGAGGTTCCCGGGACTATTGAGGCTGAGCTTTCAAAGCTCTGCGATCGAGTGTCCTCCGTTAAGGCCTCTACGGAGCCTTTTGCACCCATGGCACAGGCACAGTGGCTCAACCAGTCTTCATCAATCCTGAGGGGGGCTGCTATGTGGGGAAAACGAGATCATGACTTAAGTCCAGGGTCGACTACAGCAGATCATAAGGGTCTGGGTGCGATGTGAAATTGGGGCTGTGCTTGCAAAGTGCTTAGGAGCCAGCGGCCGATCGCAACAGTGCTGCGGGGACAGGGGGGGGGCAAGTCAGCTTTCAGCCCAAGCCCCAAGAATTCGGCTGTTCCTCTGGTGGGGCCGTGCCGGGCTGTTGCAAGACTCGTGGACTTATGTCGTAGGATAGCAGAAACTGTTGTCAGAAGTCCAACCCTCCGAGCTCAGTACGATCTGTCAAGATACGTCTCTCTCTCTCTCTCTCTCTCTCTCTGCTGCAGCTGCAGTACTTGTAGAAAGCGAAACAGAGAAAAGCCGTTGCCGCAACTACGTCAACACTCTTGAAACTTGATCCCGGGCTCACAGTGGGGTGCGAACGGACTTTTCTCAAAGCCAGTCACACAGCTGCATGATCCAGTGAGCAATATCTGTCGCCCAGAGAGAGAGAGAGACAGAGACAGACAGAGAGAGAGAGAGAGAGAGAGAGAGAGAGAAAGAGAAAAAGAGAGGGGGGAGGGAGGGAGGGAGGGAGGGAACGAGCAACAGAGAGCGGAGCGAGGACGCAAGACCTAAGAGCTAGAATGAGGAGCCCCCCGCAGAATCACAGCCTGATCCGTGAAACCTTGTAACGCACATCACTTGTCGGGAAGCTCGTTCGCCACCGCCTCATTGGGCCCCAACATCACGAAAGGCAGTTCGGCTTCAAGCGGTGTCGCCCAGTTCGCAGTAGCTGCCTAAAGTGAAGCTTCACTTAAACGGCCTGCTTTCGATTGTGTCAGTTAAAGTCCGTCCTTCAACAGAGCTGGGACGTCCGGTGTCGAAGCCATCGCAACCTGACGCCCAAGGTGTCACTGGCAGGCCTAGCCTGAGCGTGTGTCCAAGCTAGGAGCGGTATTTACGAACATACGAAGAACTAAGAACTCCTTCTCCTGTGAGAATGAAGGCATGCCTTGGGATGTCATCTGCTGCTTTCGTTCAGTTCAAGTCTGCTTTCACGTGCACAGGTGGTTTCATAATGTTTCATACCCCAAACAAACGGTGATTTCACCCATGCCCCCGAACTTGTCCCCAGCTTGTTGGCCCGAAGGAACCGCAGCCCCGACAATGATACATGACGGTTCTCCTGACAACAGCAGCTATTCGAAGAAACAAATGCCACCAAGACACGACACATGAGAACTTGACACCCTGTGGGAACACTCTCACTCGATATGCGCCCAGGAGGTCTTTCTTATAGCGACTGAAGACAGATGAAGACAGCACTCTCCTGCATGGCAATTATTCGGCAAGCGTAAAATAAACGATAACGACCCAAAGCTGCATTACGGTGAAAGGCCAGCACGTTATTCCAGCAGTTCTCTCTTCGATACAGCACTAAGTGGCCAGCCTTCCTAGAGATATGCAAAGCTATATATCGGTGTATGTTGAACATGACCTGCGAATGACATGGAAATCTGCTCCTCGAAGGACAAAGATTCCGTAACTTCTGCGGCCGTAGCCTGATTTCTTGCAACAGTTGGCATCAATGTTCAGCAAGTCTAGGGCATCTCTCGAAGCTGACTGTCAGGATGGGGATAGAAACTCCGAATCCAAAATGCCCCCCCCCCCACACCTTCAAAACACGTCGAGTTCTGTGGACCGGGTAAGGTCGCCTTCTGCAGGTCAGCAAAGAAGAGGCCTTCCTGGTGCAGGTCGCCCTCCAAAGCATTCAGCTTGGCCTGGCTTTGATGGCTGAGCCCTTCCAACGCCACCCAGAATAGAAGAGGCTCTGAAGTGTGTGAAAAGGGAGGCGAGTGAGCTGAGCTTCTAACCTCGCCTCTCCCTGTCGCTCCTTCCGTCTGTCCGTCCCTCCCTCCATCCTGCCATCCCTCATATCCCTCCCGCATCGGCGAACACCAGCTTATGCCCGGCTAAGCAAGATGCAATTCTACTTCCTGTTCTTCGCGCGATACGGTGCTATCTAAGGAACATTTGTCAGGTGCTTGAGGCGTCCCTCAAAGCAGCAAGGAATCTGCCAAAGCTTCCGCCTTCAGGTGATCGAAGGCCTCCTGCAGCTTGCCTCAGTGCGTGTGCTCGACTTGCCTACCAGTGAGCTGAATATCGACCCTAATCATGCTCATCTTGCATCCTAGCTGCTGGTTTGGGCGGCGGTCTGATCCAGCTCGTTCCTGGGAGCTGAAGAAGGGCATGGCTGGAGTGCTGCAGAGTTTCGCTGACGGAATTGGCCACCGATCCATCCCGCTTGTGAAAGCCGAGGCTCTTCAGCAGCGAATGCTGCGCGAGGAGGGCTGCATGGCCTCGGACGCATAATGTCAACGAGGCATGATGACCTGGTGGTGACATCCAATGAAGGAAGCCTGCAGTCTGAATAGTCTGACGAATGTGTATGTCGGCATTCCGCTTCATGACTCCAGCTGGGCAACCTTGTCTGCAGCTGCTCTGGTTGCGGCCAACGATTGCCCTTTTACGAGTACCCAGAAAAGCCCTGTGACTGAGACGACTGCGCTGCTTTCCAGCCTGCAGATGAGGTTTAGTGACCAGTAGCATAACTACTCGGCAGGTGTGCAAGCAGTGAGTTCGGCCTCTGATACAGATTCGTTTGTTGAGGCTTGTTCTTCAGCACATGGGCGGGAAAAGGACCAGGCCTGGAAGCTGGCGTGGAAAAGCTCGTTCAGCTTTGCTTCGCTCTGCCTCGATACTGCGGCTCTCAACCCGGTGCAAACCCCGCTCCGCTTTAGGCCTGGACTCATGCCGACTTGGCAACTACCTGCCCTCCCAGTCCGATCAAATCAACCACATGTGGATTTTATGGATGCAAACTAAACTTTGCATCTGAGCAGCGTCTCAGCTTTGTGCAACTGGCGCAGCTCGTTCGTGAGGCCATCTTAGTAGCATGCTGCACATATCATGGAAGAGTTTCGAGCACCTTGCTGTTGTTTGCAAGTTTGTGTGTGTGTGTGTGTGTCGGTCTTTGAGTCGTTCATCACTTGGCAAGACTCACCGAATCCTTATTACTGTTTTGTGCCGATTGAACCACACACACACACACAGCTGAGCCGGGCAAAACACCAATGATCCTCTCTTCCTCTTCAGTACTTGCCTTTTTCTCCTGTGCCGGCTGCATGGATTTCACCACTTTCAGCCCTGCAGTCTCAAAGCCGGAACCACTGCGCTGAGATCGCTGTTCCAAGGGACAGGAGGTGCCCTCTGAGATTGATTTCAACCAAGTGTGCCAGCTCCGGGAATGGAGGCTTCTGTATTCCCAACCCCTCCCCAGCCAATTTGCACATGAGCAGCATGCAAAACACAGCTCGCCTTCGACAGCGAAGTGGTCATGTTCAGGGACCTCGCATAGTCGGAAGCGGATGAGCACTTGGACCAAGCGAGAAACTATACAGCTTCTGGATGCCAGTGTCAATATCTCAACGAAGACGGAACGGATACGAAACCATTGTTCAAATGCATGGCTTCCGTCGACGAAGTTGAAAACTGGTGGAGATGATCGAACGAGCCCTAGTCACGAGTTGCCACCGGACTGATCCAGGCCGGAATGCGCATCGCCACTGTCGCCCAGGAGAGGCAGCTGAAAATCCTCTTCGTGACCTAGTTGCAGCAGGTGTTCCGGCCCCACACTCAGAATTCACAAACAAGACTTGCATATTCAATACGTTAACGCGGCAAGTTGCATCGTCTACACTACTTCTTGTGGCTATGGCGGCTTACTTGCTTGCAAGCAGCGGCTCGAGCGCAGGGAGCCCCTGGAACCCTGTCACAATCTTGCAAGCGTGTGGAGTGGTGACATTTCGTGACATCTTCGACTGGGGAGAGTGAAGGAGGCAAACCCGTCGTGCCTTCGCTTTCCTCCTTACATGTTTCCGCGACCTGAGATTGCCGGGGCATGATGTGTAATTACGGTCGTACCAGCTGAGGATGCTATCCGAGGATGCCTTGCTACCCCGAGTCCTTCGCCAACTTGTTCCTTTTGACACCCGGAGAAACCCTAGAGGCCTCTCCTGCGCACTGCCACCAAGCCGCAGCTCCAGGAAAGAAACTGGGGCAGGGTTGTTAGACGACTGGGTGGAATTTGTCAGAATATGCGCCCAGAAGCCCGCAGCAAGAAGGGCTCAAGCCATGCGCGTGTCATGCAAAGGCAAAACCTTTGTTACCTCAACCCGGCTCGGGCACAGCAAGTCTGAACCAAGGCATCCGGCCTGCATCGGGCTCCAATGTTGTATCCGTGTCTTTTGCAGGAGCCGTCGGCTCCTGGCTGAGTGAGGACCCCAAAGCAAAGCAAAGCGCAGTGTTTGCTCGGACTGAGCCTCGATTCGTGGCAGCGAAGGCACCTCATCGGAAACTCGACTCACTATGCGAGATACCGGTAAACATGTTATGAGTATGGGTATATATATATATACACACATACCCGACATACCTAATCTATCGAATATGCCTAGACTACCAGACTCGCACAAGCCAAGGCTTGTTGGAGGACAAACGAATCTACTGCAGAGCCCTGAATGCCCCGACAGTGCAACGGCCTTGTCCAAGTGAAGGAACGAAACGTCCTGCACGTTTTCTGGGCAATCTTGCTGACAGTTCGAGTGCTTAAGCACTAGAAACACTATTCACGTGCCGGTTGCTGGCACGTACACACAGGGCGAATCGCCTTTGTGGGATCGTTCGCGTCCAGAGATCTGTGCAAAAACTTCTCGCCCTTGGTGAGCTGCTGCTCCTCCGGATTCAGCTGGCTTCGCTACCCGCTGCTTGCCAAAACTCAAGCGACTAATTTTGCATAGTCCGGTCCAGAGCTTTCAGTTCAGTGCGCCGGAAGGAGATCAGCTGGTTCTCCTGCTTTACCTGCTCGGGCACTGATACTAAGCTAAGCATTTCTCCACTCGACTGATGCCAGCACAAAGCCAAGCTCATTTGCATGCTACGTCTTGTTTCAAGCTGACAGAGGGGAAACGTCATGGCAAAGCCACGGCAGCCACATGAGCTTCCTTGAATTTAGGCACCTGCGCGGAATGCTTCTGTCCGAGCCTGCTTTTTCAGCTCTTCTCTGTTTTGCCGTGCCAGGACGATCTCTTTGGCAAGGTGCGCGTTGTCCTTGGCAACTTCCTGCAGCGGTTTCTCGGGTCTGGGGGGAGACTTATGTGGGACGCCCATGGTTGTTGAACGAAGCCACATGGACGCTGTAAGAGCTCTCGTGCTTGAGAAAGAATGTTTCCAGTTGTATCCAAGCCTGCACGAAGCAACTCCTGGCCTGGTTGACATTCTCTTGGGCTCGGAGACGTGCATCAAAATCCGCCTGGGGTCCGCGGAGTTGAGCATGTGGGCTGACGGGCACGTGGATGCAGGCTTGGGGAAAGTTGAACATCTGTGCTCTAGGTGCCAAGTCATTGTGCGTGCATGTGCATTTGTTTCAAGCTTCCTGTGCAGCTTTCGCCTGCGCTGTAAAACTTCTAGCACCAAACTGCCAAACATTCGGGTTCTGAAAAACCCGTGCGTCCTTGCTCTTGGCGATGCGATCCAGGCTCGCATGCTCCACCTCTTTGCATTGGCAGCAACGACACGATCGCTGGACCTTTACTTTGCTCGACCGGATCACACTGAGGCACTTGTGCGTTCAGTCTGCTATGAGCTTGTAGGCCAGACGTCTGAGCTGACACTAGTTCCAGTTGACCTGGTCGCACGATCCTCCAACCCGTTTGCCTGCGACAGATGCGCGGCGAAGCTGCTTGCCTGATCACAGGACCAAAACGGGCCAGTGAAAAGCTGCTCCTACACCATCCAACACAAAAATAGGCCCTAAATGCTGGCTGCATGCCTGCGAGTTCAGGCTATGCTTCACATCCTGGAATTCCGTCATCAACTTGTCCTTGGTGAAGAAAGTTGGGCACTTACACATGCACTGCGGCATTGCAATCCCCGTGCCCATTGCGCCACTGGAATCAAAGACGTGTCTCATGGAAGTAAGCTGAGGTGAAAGCCACATCCGGCAGCTGTGGCATCCCATCGGGTCCAGGATTGAATACCTCCGTACAGGATCGTGCAGGTGTCTGTTTGATCCATCGCGCAACTCTTCCAATGCCTGCAAAGGGAGGCTTCACCACAAGAGGCAGCAAGCTTAGCAAATCGTGAACCTCGAGAAACTGCGCATGGGACTGGCCCAAACCCTAGGCCCTAAACCCTAGGGCCCAAACCCTAGGCCCTAAACCCTAGTGCCCAAACCCTAGGCCCTAACCGACGCATGCCGGCTGTTTCAACTCGACAGCTTTGTCATCCAGTTCGTGTTTCTTTCATGTTTTCTGCAAAATCTGCTTCTCGGATTTTCCATTCACACGCGCCTCTGGCACCCGGGGCAGCTTTCTCACATGAGGAAGAGCATCTTCCAGCGAAAGTGCCTGCCGATGGTAATTACTACCTGACGTCTTCCACGATCAGGTCTGAAAACAAACACGTGGCACAACTGAACTCAACTGAATCATTCAACTCTTCAGCAAGCACAAGATGAACAAGTCTGGCAAGGTTGGACGGCACATCGACGTGGCCAAACCGTTGTCGTAAGAATTCTGGCAGCCTCTGCCCCAAGCGCAAGGAGTGCGACGAGCGCCGTCGCCTTCATTGCCTTCCAAACAAGCCAAAGGCGCGCAGCGCAGTCTTTCTTGAGATTCTATATCAAAACAGTATCTTTTCAGAGCTGACACGATGCGGAGTGGAACGGGATTGGAAAGTCTAGCCTGAGGCAGGCTTCATCGACACGGCAAAGAGCCCTGGACCTGTGAAAAGTCCCAGTCCCTGGTTCTTTCGTCCAGAGACAGACTTGCATCTGGAAGCTTATATCATATATCCTTTGGCGCCTTGCAGAAAGGCACCGCAAGCAGCTCAGGGAGCCATCAGCGGCTGCGGTTGAAGGTCAATGTTCAATGCATGCGGCATCTTCTTACGAAGTTCAGGCCCTTCCACGACGGTTCGGTGCGACAAAGCCCTAGGTAGTCATCGCAGGCAGGCAAATCACCAACGAAGTTTGCATTGGCAGCCGCACGAAGCCAGTGCTCATGAGGAGATGAAGGAGTATTCACGGCCACGATATACCAGGGCTAGGCTCAGCAAAGAGAGAGGCAGCGGTGCTACTGCAATGGCTGCCATGGGCGTGGAAGAACCGACATTTGGAGCAACCCTGCTTCAAGCACCAGGCCCAGATGTCGGCTCTGTGGGTCGTAGCACCGAGTCAAACCATTTGATCACGAAGTCCTTGAAGCTGGAAAGAGTGGATTCTCGAGTCCGGCTGTACTGCTACACACATGACGCTGTGTGTGTGTGTGTGTGTGTGCGTGCGTGCGCTTCGTCGGTCTATGGAGAGGGTGGATCGACTGTGACTAAGTGCTGCTTCTGCGACCAAAACGTCGAACTGAGGTGACGGCCACTTCAGCCGTGTACTCCTGGAGTCAGCATGTTTACGAACCAGACATGCAGGATTCGTCGGAGAAAACACGCACTGTATCTCCAACCCTGCCATCGCTCCGTGGCAATGCTTCTGCACTGAAAGTGGCTGGATCTAGACTGCACGTTGCGAAATCTTGCAAGGACCTGCTGACCATTAGAGAGTCGGCGAAGTCGCATCCAGGCGCTCCATTCCCGATCAAGCTAGTTTCACCAAACACATGGCCACATACGAGGTGCGCGAGCAAAATACTATCAGGTTGTGAGAAAGCCGCTCCTGCACAAAGTTGAGAGCCTCAGCGGGCAGGTGGTCCTGGCAGGTCACCAGTAGTATGAACACTCGAGTACCACACCGCGACTCAAACTGACATGTTGTTACAAGGTACAAACGTTGTGTGCTTTAAGCCTGTCGGTAGCTTCTCGCGTCTGGACAATTCGAAGGCCCGCCACAGGCAGCATCTTTTGTGCAGCTGATCTTTGTACACATACATGTGGCTGCAACTGAACAGCTGCACTTATTCTGGAATACCGTCTGCAGGTGAAGTGAGTCCTGACTGCTTGAATGCTGAGGCGATGGCCCACAAAAGTCGGGTGATCCTGGCCACATCAAGACCTGCAGAGGACGGTTCGCGATCAGCACAAGGGCAGTTTCATGTTCCGAAGAGAAATACCAGGCCAGCTGGCCAGGAATCATCGAGGTGACATCCATAAATCTTCAGCCGTCCCGACAATCTGTGCTACGCCTTTGCCAAGAACCGCCCCCTCCACGACACCGCGAATGTCGTCTTCCAGCTTCGTGATCGTCCCATCCTGATCACGAGCTACTGAACCCATTAGCCTGTGAGCGGTGTCACGTGTCCCCATCGGTATCTGACTTGCTTCCAAGCTGCGGCAACATGCTTACCTCGATGCAGGGTTCGGTTCATTCCGAGACTTCTCAGGAAGACAGGGGATTTATGTTCCTACAGTGCAAAGCTGGGTTTTCCAATGTTGTATGAATCCGCCTGGTTGAGCTCCTGTGCTTTTGATCTTCTTTGGACATCGCTGGTGAGTGCCGTGATCGGCCAAAGCCTCTACTTTTGTCGGACGTGTCAACTGCTGACACACTGAAGCTTGTCCTCTCTGAGTGTCCACGCCGTCCGTCCCAATTTCCTGCAGAATCCTTGCGATGACCCTGGCCATGCCTCGAAAGGAAAGCAAATGCAGCAGTACGAAACTCTCCCGATGACCGTCACAAACATGCAGCCGTATTGAATTGGTTGTGCCCCACACTCAGCAAACTGGATCGCTTGAGCACATCGACCTGCCCGCCCCGAACTGCTCAGTGCAGGACGGCGCGTTGGGATGACGTCCTGCCGCTTCACAAGATTTGATCGACATCGGATAGCGATTTCCTAAGCATACCGCTCTGTTTTTACACTTGAAGCGGGCCTTAGGCTCTTCGATGCCCTCGGTGCGGAGCACATTGCGCACGACCTCAGTGGAAAGGGGAACACTTGGAGGTTTGAAGCCACATCGACATGGGGCCCAAAACCTGTGCCAGCTTCATGACAGAGCTTCGGTGTTGCCAACCGATCGGCACCCTGCAAGTGTTGCACAAGCAGCACCTAGATCCTAGGTGAAGGGCATACCTCGTCACAACTCGACCTGCAGTTGTTTGCATGTCTGCTCCGAAGAGATACTTGGCGCGGGCAGCAGAACAGCATGGGTGCCGCTCATTTCAATGAAGCAGCACGGCATCTGTGCCAAGCCGGACCACGAGCACGACTCCCCCACGATTTGACGAGGCTCTATCCTGATCTGAGGCAGCATCCCGTGACAAGTTCAAAAGTCGCTTCACGGCCGGCTGCAGGTTCATCGTGTCCTGCAGGGGTCCTAGCTGCAGTAGTCAGTAGTGACTCACTTGTGGGCTGGGCAAGCGGAATGCTTGAAGCATCCTAACATGTCATGCCCATGCATGCTTTTTAAGAAAAGGTTCATGGGCCCGATGTGATATCCATCGCCTTCAAAGCATGAAATCAACACCAAAACGTCGGCGGCTTCCGCTGCCGCGGTGAAGTCTAGGAATGAATTTGGCGCCCAGCACTTGGCGCCCAGCTGCAAGTTCGAGGAGCGGCACGAACCAGGCCTCTGCAAGCCATACCGACGTAGCTTGGCAACAGTAACCATTGTCCACGGCTCAGTAGCTGCAATTGGAGCGCGAAACACTGCTTGACTTCGAGCCTCGTCGTCCAGTAGGCGGTTCCCACACTCGGCCACATCAGGCCTAGACGTGCCACACATCTTTCCTATAATGACATCATTTGACATCCCAAATATGCATTGGCGACCAACAGGACCAACGGCCACTCCTCGTGGGCAAACGCTGTGTCAGCTGCATTCACCGATGTGTGGTTCGCCTTTCTTGCTTCGGAGATTTGCGACACTGGCCCACGCGGCCACACCTGGGCCTTCGACGCAGTCGGACTCGGTTTCCCGCATCATTTCGCCGCTTTCTGGGGCTCCAATGTGTTGCAATCATGCTCCCGCCACATTGTAGTGCACACTTTGGACTCGTGGGGTGGCGATAGCAGCCTCAAGGGGAAGTCGTTCTTGCATCTGTGAGGCTTGTTTCACAGTGTGGAGTGTGTGCGTGCATGTATAGTCGTTCTCACACCGGAGGAAGCAGAAGACTGCCAGCTCTCAGCTCGAGCACATATCTGGTCTCTCAGGCATCGGCTCATCGTCTAGTGTGATGCCCATCTGACCTGCAGCCAGGTGGCGATGTGAATTGGTTAGTGTAATGCTCATGTTGAGGTATCGAACCTTGCAGTAATGATCTTTGGCCGCACGTACCGGTGACCAAATAAGAACCAGCAAAGCCGAGAGCCCAGGTCATGGTTGACTGTGGTTGCGCAGAGGTCATCATAACGGGCCCATGCCCGCAAGCTTGCCAACAGAAAGGAAGATGTCAGCCATCGTGTGTCGGCATCTCACCCCAAAGATGCCACGCCACAGGTCAGCGTCAAGGAAACTGATGAAAGTATCACTCTGGGTTTGGTCTCGATTGCACTACTGGCCGTGCCAATCTCTGGCATGACCATTGTCTGCGACTTGAGGCTGCAGCCCATGTCACCAATGCGGACGGTGAGCCCCGATGCCTGGAATGAGGACATTCATGAACATGCTTGATCGTTTTTGTTTTTTATTGATTCCGTCACGAGGAACCTGACCGTGAAGCCGCCTAAACTCAACCTTCTCAAAAGCGAGGACAGGTTGCAGCCAGGGCAAAATGATCTCGCCCACACCGCCGGGGCCCGTGCAGACGGCGGCTGTGGAAAAGTGACGGATCGCCTTATGCCCGGACTCAGAGCGCATGCGCAAAAGTATGCAAAGACGCAACGTGGAGGTGAAGGGATGCCAAATGAAAGAGCAAAATTAGGGAGGTTCACGAAGGAGCCAAGAATGCACTTCAGCCAGGCGGCTGTTTTGCCGTGTGCTTCAGGTGCGGCCGGC